CCTATATATATATATATATATATATGTATATATATAATATACGTGAACATATAATTTTAGTTTAATTTGCATTTGCAATTGCGTATTCTCTTACAGAAATCCAATTTCATACCTGTCAATTTAACATAATAACTACCTTTCAGTAAAATTTTTGTAAGGATTATTCCAATCTTGAAACATCTATCTTTGCTATCTTTGCGTTATAATAAGCTTTGCACTCTCTTGCGATTATTGAAAAACATTAATGTATGCATTTTATTGAAAACCGCAGGTTTCAAGTATATTTGTACCTGATGCCGCAACTTACGCGAGGAACGCTATTGCCACTCTCGGCAAAATGGACAGCAGTACTGGTTACTGGGCCCATAGTATTCAAAAGTTTATCACTCTAATGCCACCTGTGTGGATCAGAACGAAAATCGGACAAATCATGAACGAGAGTTTCAGGAAAGACTATTTCAAGCAGCAGAAACAAAAGACATTGCAATAAGATATTTATGTAAATAATCTTTTTTTTTTAAATAAGCATTGTATCGTACTGACGTAGAAACTTTTTAGCAATTTTTAATTATTACAAGTAATACGTAGTTTTAAATGAAATAAAAAGACACAGCGAGAGAGAAAGAGAGACACAAAAAGAAAGAAAGAGAGAATGTACGCGCGCGTGTATGCAAGAACAAAAGAGAGAGAAATATAAACTTTTTTATTTAATTATTATTTAATTTAATTCTTATTTAATTAATTTTTATTTAACAAAATTCAGCTCTCGTTTCTTCGATCAATTTTCTCTATTTTAATTCTACTTTCTATTCTCAGGATCAAGAATTTTATCCGTTCTAGTATATTTCCCTTTCCCCAAATCGTATTCTTATTCTAATGCAATTGTGCAAGCTTGAGCAATACACGTGCAATTTTGACAGGAAATAGATTAGTTTATAGCGCATTACGAGTTATTTTATGTCCGCGATATTGAAACTACACCCAGAGGTAACGTAATTGAAGGACTCGGTGCAAAAAGTGGTTAGAACTGCTTTTTTAACGAAAATGACTTTTCCGATGGATTTAATAAAAAATTCCGCATCTTTTAATAAGAAACAAACAATTCCGACAACTTCAAACAAAGTGATATATTTTAACAATTTTTATAAATTATTTGAATATTTCGCAAAATATACTTGACAATTAAAACAGTTTTTTTTATCAATACTTGCTGCGTGGTTTTAAAAAATGAAGCTGATCGATTTTTGCGCTACACTCTTATTCAGTTATACGGAAAAAATTATTTTTTCAATATCTAATAATTTATGTATTATATAAATGCAGATTTAAAAATAATTACCATCAAAATAATTATAGGCAACTCAAATGTGATGAGCAATGCTGCAAAACGTTATGACATTCTGGCAACCAACTTGACAGTCCTACATAATTATTTTGATAGTTCAACAAAATTATTTTCAAATCTGTATCTATAGCTAAATTATTAGATACTTCAAAGCTGTTCTTTCTGCATGTGTGCTAATTGTATTTTATTTGTTTTTATCGTTACAATCAATAATTCAATTTGTCCATTTAATTGGAGATTTCACAACCACAGTCGAATATTATATTTGATAGACTGAAATCTGTTTATATACTCCACGTGAGTGACCCGAGTAACACGTGCGAATTGATCAACGTTGCGATATGACGTTGACCTAATTGATTTGCGCATATTATTCAATTAAAATTTGTAGAGGTAGTAGAGGTAGGAGAGGTAGTGACTTCACTACCACTCCATGGCCATAGACTCTCTGAGAAAAAAAAACAAGTTACATAATTCATTCATTAATACTTCACTCTTCACCAAAGCAAAAGGTCGCGAACCAATCAGCATACCGATGTTGACCTGCACATTGATTGGCTTGCGTTTACTACTCGGTTGAATGTATAAATAATCGTATTAGCTCCCTGTGCGGCATTTGATTTTGCGTCATCCGATCGGATGGATATATGTAAAAATTAAAACAGAATTTCTCTTTTTTACACATATTTTAATATTTAATATTTTTCATATTTAAAATTATATATATATATATATTTATATATATTTAATAATTAATAGTTTTCAAATTTTGATCTGGAGGATAATCACTTGTATTTTATAATTATCGAGAAAGAGAAATGACTTTGATGATGACTTTTCAAAAATTTTGGTCTCACCAATCTGTTACTATTTTGTCTAATTATATTTTCAAATAATTATAGCACATATAAAATGCTGCAAACCATTTTGCGTAATAAGAAGAGAGACGGTCTAGCCAATCGACTTCCCTTTACTCAGACAATATGAAGTTTAAAATCAAAATTCAAAACATAAGACATTAAAAAAAATGAAGTCTTTTTAGATATCTTATGTTCCGATTTTGGATTTTGCGTTGTTTGGAGAGAGAGAGAGAGAGAGAGAGAGAGAGAGAGAGAGAGAGAGAGAGAGAGAGAGAGAGGCATGTACTTTTTTTTTTAAATAGATCGTTTAAATTTTTTCGGACATTTCGCGTACACTTATAAAATTGAATTCCTCCTCCGCGATCGTTTACCAACACATTAATCGCCAAAGTGCAATACGCTAAATCAATAATGAGGAGAAACGAAATAAAATTTCGTCAGTGTAGTATACGTATCTTTGACATTACCGCTCGTTGCGCAAATCTCGTATGTACGTGGAGTGCGATATCAGCGCGTTCCGAAACTCATCGACAAAAAAGCGCGTTCGAAACCTGTTGGAGCCTTCCTACTTTGGTCGTGAGACTTTATTATTATGTAGCGACTAGCATGCCGGTGCTTTCACAACTGTTTATCGGGATACGCAAAAACATGATTCTCACGAAACAGGCTTACCCGGAATTTCAACCTAACTGGGATCGCCTCTAGCGTTTCCGACTTTCCGACTTTACGCACCCAGGCCACCCAGGAACGCGACCAATCGTGCGGGAAAGCGACGAGGAGTGTAGGTCAGGTCACGAGACGGAGAGGAGGGAAGTGTCACGTGATCGATCGAAACGCCAGGCGGAAGCCGCGCTCACCATTCCCCATCCATGAGGCTCGCAAGGAAGACGTCTGGATTATCTCTACGTTCCAGAATACGAGCAAGATGAGTCTGTAGTTTAACGAAGAGCTTGCACACGCAAGTGTGCCAACGCCCCTTAGTAATCATGCAGTAAGTAACAAAAGTCTCGCTTGTCTCTCGTTGGGATATTTCGCGTCGCGTCGCGTCGCGTCGCGTCGCGTCGTGTGCGGGTCGCGTCGCGCGTGCTACAACGAGGCCGCTCTGGCCATCTTGTGTGAGTCATCACGTCGACGACGTTCAGACACGAATTATTTCGACGAAAAGACGGCCATGCCGCCGTACGTCGCGAGAGATCTCGTTGTCCGATCGCGCGTTACGTTAAACACGCGTAAATATTCGCGGCCCGTTGCACATTGCCCGCGATCTGAACCCGCGCGAGCGATGTTGCCAGCCGATAGCCTCTTATTGCGTCATGATGCATCATATACGTAACTGTTGTTCGGTCCCTCCAGTGTAATCTGTGTATGAAAAAAAAAAGTCATCTTCCGCCAAGATAAACGAGAAATAATCATCGGACAAGAGTTCCGGTTCGGGACTTTGTACATATCTTCGTTACCAAGTCTAGTCGCATCATCTTTCACATGTAAATTCAATTTGCAAAACCTACAAAAAAATATATATAAAATTTCAAATATATGAAAATATGTAATATTAGAATTTTAAAAAATTTGTTTCATATATACAATATAAATTTGTTTCATATATACAATAAAATTTGTTTCATATATACGATATAAAATAAAAGTATAAAATATATAAAAGAAAATTTGAATTGAATATTTATGTAAAAAAATAGAAAATCATTCTATTTAACACTATAATCATTAACGATTAATTTCTGTTTAAGGATATAAGTCTATTTTTGAATTAATATACATTTAAATTTAAATTGAAGGGAATAAGGCTCCTAAAAGTAAATCAAATGACAAAGTAATGCCAATGTGAGCTCACGATGGATATTAGTGTGTATAATAATTTTATTATTACAATATCCAGCCTGCGCGCTGCACTTTTTTGTCAGTCTTAAAATACAATCCATGAATTCATGTAACGAATTAAATTAAACGAGCAATTTAATATTTTTGATTTTAGCAAAATCTATAAGAATCTTTTTCCTCAAAACATAATTAATATACATTTATTGTATTTGAAATAGATATTACATACATTTAAAGTTCGACGACAGCAAGGAAGTTTTAGTGCTGTTGATTGCAGCGATAAAAGACAAAAGGCAATTATAAGTTTGAAATAAGTACGAAGGGGTGAAGTAAATAAATTGATCAAATTAATTATTTACATATTGCAACAAAAGTTATAAAAGATCTGGGAAAATTGTTATAAATTGGAGCAAATTTAAATTTAAAAATTACAAACGTTACCTCAACTGCTTTGATATAGTTCTAGCATTAAAAACATCTGCTTGGAAATAAACAAGCTTGGGACAAACATGATTGTTTATTTCTATTTTTTCTTGGATTTATTATTAACTGGAAATTATTATTTATTTTTTCAGTGCCAATATGGCGCTCATCGCGAGCTACGTCGCTAAGCCGACACAACTTTCTTTTCATCATTCTTTAATATCCTTCGGTTGGATTCGCATCGAAAATGTCATCAAATCAGGACCAGGAGATGTGGAATGTGTGGAAGGACGAGCCGGGGTCCCCTATCGGGACACCATCGCTAACTTTTGATGAAGACGATTGGTCTTTCAATGATCAGTCTGTAGAAAATTCTAACAATGCTGTGGAGGTTGTTATGTATGACGATAATCCCACCCGGGGACAAGTGGCAACAAAACTTTTAGAAGAATTGGACGAATGGATTAAGGAAGGTAAACATGTTATTTTTGTTATGTTGTTCATTTAAGATATATATGAGTGCACAAATCGTTAACGGCGTTCATATCAGTGATAAAATAGATAAATATTCATATCGTAACGTTAAAGCGACGGAAATTGATGATAATATTCAATGATATTCTATTTCTGTTTCAAATAAAAACCTGGACATGTTTTTATAATATTTTCAGTATCTTCAAATATGCAGTACACATGTAATGTTTTATTATTCTTGAATATGATTAATATGAATTCATATAAAAACGCAATTTTAAAATCTTGTATGAATAGCCTTATCTTCTTAAGCTCTTATCTGAGAAAAGTCAAGCCAGAATTACAAATCAGAATGTAAAGTAGAAGCAGTAATTCTAAATATAAAGATAAATGAAAAATTAAATATTACAAATATTAGTTTTTTTCCTCTTGATGAAAAAAATGTGAATATCATAATATGCAACAATAAAATATAAGAATCTATTACTATCTAATTTAGAAATGTAACGTTTAATCTTGGGTCATTCTGCTTCTTGCTCGAGATGATTTTATAAGATTTAAACATTTTATGTTGAGTGAATAAATCACTGATATGACTGAAGTATTTCTCTTGAATTTCATTATTGAATTAGATTTTCATGACAAGTGCTTTGACAAATTTGGGATTTATTTTTTTTAGCAAGAAAAATAGCTGTTCCAAGAAGTGATAATATTTTTTGCAGTAGTTTTAATTTTCAATATTAATTATTTCTGTAATAGAAAAGTGCGTTAAATTTTTATTGTAATAAAACTTGCTTGAATTTAATCCCCAATTTGATTAGAGAGAGAATTTTTTATTGAAATTTACACGTCGAAAATATGATATTCATTATATCAAAGATTATTTTTTTGATCCTGCTTTGCTAAGCCTCTGGAAGTTTCCGTTGAAACATATTGCTCAATAAGATTCTGAAGCAGTATTAGCGAGTCTCAGATTTACGTTTCTGACGGTTTTACTTATTTATTATTTTTTTTTTATTCTTGCGCTATCACATACAGACTGATACAGATATTTTGTGTCCCGAGAAGTGTAGCCCACTGACAAATGTCAATCAGCTTGTCGAAATTAATTAAAAGGAAATAAATTTTCGAGTTTTATTCTACAATTTAAAAAAAAACCTACGACGTTTATCGTCTAACAATTTAATACGTTAATAAATTTATAACCTCTAACAATTTAAATATCAGATAATTAGTTGCCATAATATAATTATAGTATTGATTTACGGCCATGTTCTAAGATCGAGGATATTTGCATGATCTTTAGTATAATTGTAGCGCGTTACTCGCTTCGGGAGAAAAAAAAAGCTTGTGTCTTGAGTTAAGTCACTGAGATCCTCATGTTTATGCGATTTACGTATTACAATTTTCACACATTATCTAGGCGGTGAGAAATCCCAGCGTCTTGCCGCCGGTATATTAAACGACATTGTCGATAGATAGATTTAACAGAGAGAGACCGTCGGGGCGGCGCCGTGAATCTTGCTAGGGATAGGCCAGTGTACTCGATATTCTAAAGGAGCGGGATGCAAAAGACTGCTTTATGCTTTCGAGCGATACTTCGCAATATCCGCGTGCGCAAATATATTAATCGAGCGGCGAGCCATGGTAAAGGACACGAGACGCGCGTGAATGCGCATTAACTTAAGAATCGCCTACTTTTCGCATTTTTCCGTACTGCGCAGAAAAAAAAAAGTGAAAACTGGTATTTTCGTTCGATTTCGTATCCCTCTATCGCTTTCAGTCTTTCTCGCCGGCACCGCTCGGCACACGCACAACGTCTCTCTTTTCCTCCTTCCACGCCTTTTTCTCCTTCCTTCTCGCACCAACGCGCTCCTCTCCTTTTTTTTCTATAAAAGAGAGTGGGACAAACTGGTTAACCTCTACGCGAATGGCTCCGGGCACTCCGGGTCTTGGGGGACGATAGGGGGGTGACGGCGGTGTCAGCGTCGTCGAGATTGGAAGGAGGGAGTAGGGGCGACAGAGGGGAAAGTCCAAAGATAAGCAGGAGCGGTTTCTCGCCAGTATACAGGCCACCACCGAAGTCCAATTTGCACGATCGCCATTCGCCGAACCGTCCGCGCTACATCAGTGTTTAATTACCCGTCTAAGGAGTATCTACGCATCTCTTATCGGTTGTCTCTTCCCCGTCGCGCGCGTCATCTCCGATATCTCGATACACCATCGTGGGCGCTTAATCGATCATCGTGAAAACGCTTTTCTCTCTCGCTCCGGAAGCTCGCTATTCCCGCGCGAATCGCCGGAAAATTCCGCACGTCTGTCCCTACGGAGAGAACAAGGGAACGCACACGAGTCTTACCCACGTTCCTCGTGGCACGTGGCGCCGGAGGAAAGCGACAGAGAAGGTAAAGAGGACGACTCGCCAAGCGGAGGCACCTGTGAAATCGGGGTCGCTCGTCAACGAAAACACGTGGCTACGCATCGGCGGCGATCTCGCGAGCCTGTTACTCGGGATCTGCCTCTGTCACGAGCGCTCGCCGGTACAGGGACGATAGGGTACCACGCGAATCAGCGGACGGCGTCGAGCATTGTCACCCTGGGAAAGCACCGGACGAGGTGTAGCGAAACATCTGCGGGGTACCTGTAAACCCGACGATCAGTCCAATATCGATTCGGCGGGCGACTTTGCGGAGCACTTTGTGATCTACTTTGGGGCCAGCGCCGTTTGTTTGTTTGTTTGTTTGTGCATGGGACACAAGCGCACGCGGGTGCCCTGAAGAGAAGAACGGTGGCGTGGCGCCGGTAACCCCTGTGAGACTGGCATCATTAAAGTTGATCCGCGGAAACAATCATACGTCGTCTCGATGGTGGAGTGTGCTAATGTTATATAATAGCATGCAGTTCGCATATCGTTACACGTGGAATCGAGAGATCATCGTCAACTCCCAGAAGCTCGTGAAAAGACGTTGAATAACGGCCGATTCATCGCGATTACACGTGGGAGGATCGCACGTTCTTCTACGTCTTCGTACGAGCTGCGGCACGCTACGTCGGCGCTACTGGAGGAACGATCGTATCGGAACCACCGGCCCTTCCCAACCATCTACACTAGATACACACTCCCACCTGATCTCTCTTCTCTCGTCCCTTTAACAAGGAAAACACACCGCGCCACGCGCAATTACCATGGCTGCCTTATGTTACAGCGGTAGGTTTCCTTCCCCTTCCCCTTTTTATTCTCTCGCCCCTCCACCCGGACGGGTTGCTCCAAGTCGTGGCATAATACAGAATTTATTATCTGTGCGAGGGTGAGAGGAGGGGGGGGGAGACAGAAATATGTTATCTGGTCACATTGTAAATGTAGACACAACGATCTCTTGGTTCTGTGTTAGTTTTATAGTTACTATTACAGCTGCTGCATGATTTGCCGTACATTGCGTTCTTTAAAACGCAGAAATAAAATGAATCGCTCAGTAATTAAAAGATATCTGACTCTAAAAAGAGCCAGCTACTTTCCTCACGTAAAATTTCGCTCGACAAAAGTAGCTCGATCTATGTTAAAATAGCGTTTAATGTATTACAATTTTCCGCTTCTGAGTAGACGGTTTTTTTTTGTCCTCAAGAAAATTTATTCATGCAGCTATACGCTTTTAATAATGAGCAATTTATTTGTGTACAGATGGAATGTTTTAGTCCCCTCCTTAGGTAAATTTCGCACTCGGGATATCTACTACTGTTTTAGTCAAAGAGTTTATATGTTTTAGTGCTAAAAAAAATCACGATATTTTAGGAAAAATATACTAGAACACATATTTCTTTTAATTGTTTCTTCAAAACTCTTGCCTTTACATGGTTGACAGTTTGATCAACTGAAATGGCATGTCTGTTTTCTTCAACAAACAGACATTTAAGATATCTTTATAGGTTGCATATTTCTGCGTTCGTGAAATATATTCCGAATACATTTCTCTTTATCTCCGGAATGCTTCAGAAAAAGGTCTGTTGACAAATTTTTCGAGACTGTTCGATAGTTTTTAATTTTCCTTTACGATTACGAGATTAGGAAAACTACGAGTGGATGAAATTAAAAGGCCTACATAATAAATTTATTTTAGGTTTGTATGTAGCGAGTTTTTCTGGAAACAATTGAATCTTGAAATATAAACCAATAGTAACTTGAACTTAGACCGCGAATGTGAAAATCATTTTCCAAGAATATGCATCTTGATGCTCATCGATGAAAAACATATTTTTCGCGTATTATTCTCACTTTTCGTTACTACAGACGAAACTTTAGACTCGCAGTCGAGCAGTTTGAATGGAAAATAAAAGATAATACGCCAAAGTCGCCCGCGCGATAATGTGAACAGCAGGCATGCGATACGCGAGTATGAGGGGGGCGGGGGGAAGGGGTTCTCGCCAATATATTTGACACATAAGCATGCTTTTAAATGTCTTAAAAATTCATATTTTATATCGATCTCATTTGCCATTTGTTTGCTCTCTCAACACATCATCGAATCGATTAACTCGTTCGTTACAAGGCATTTTCATAAAAGTGTATTTCGAGATTATGAAATAGATATATACCGTGCAAAAAATCAGTCTTACGGATGTCATACTTGACGTGTTGAGCCATCTTCTCTCAAGAAACAGAAGTAAAAATTACGATAATAAATTCGATATATATGAGAACTTTAAAGAAAACAGAGATAGGCGAGTGCAGTTAAAGTAATATATTATTTAAAAATGCTACGCACACACTACATATATACATATATGTAGGAGCATTTTTCTATTCATGCTATTTTAACTGCACTCGCGTATCTCTGTTTTCCTGAAAGTTCTTTGTGCACTTCTAACATTTAACGTCGCTCGAATACAGAAATGGTCTTATCTAACCTTCTGCCCTCTTGTATTTAAATGAAGATAACATCCAATAGCTGCTGATCAAAGTTTCATAAAATAGGTCACGGCTGTCGTAGAGAGCGCGAAAATTATCCAATTCTTATGCGCTCCAGGTCCTTGATCGCCCGCATCTCCGAGCTGTCGGAACCTTTCAGAAGGGTAGAGCATTTTGAAACGCTCGTGTTCTATAAGGCCGTCGCCGCACATGCGGTTATTAATAGTGATTTAAAAAAATTAAAAAAAAAAACATTTTTCCAAAGGCATCGCTTTGCATATGGAATAAAAAAAATCGCAGCAGCCGAGCGATTGATCTCATTATAAATGAGATTGCAAATGAGGAACTTGTTTTCCTACTTAACGTCCATGGAATTGTATTAACGCGCCACACCTATTTATTGTTCGCACACGTTGCACCGACAAGTACTGTTAGCTAGCTACCTCAAATGTCTCGAAATTTTAAAATCAAATTCATATTATTCATAAAAGTATTATATCGAGTAACATGTTCCTTTACATGAGACAAGATTACATAAAATCAATCTCTTTCCTTAGCACTACGAGTGAGCACTAAAGAATGAGGAAGAAAAACTCGAGTCGATGCCGCGCTGATAAAACACGAAAGATGGATAGCGTAATTTCCAGAACGCGGTAAACAGTCTTAACGTTATGAGAAGTACGAGGATCGATCATTTCTCGACGTCGCGTTGCATATTTGCCGGTCGTGCCGGCATTTCCAGAGGCGCGCTAAAGCTATTGCGTCTCACGTTATCCAATAACAATGCATATACCAGGAAATATTATATCGCCAGCGTGTGTGATTCATTTGCAAACGAATGAATGCATCACGAGCGTTAGCTAGCCGCGCGTACTGATACGCGATGTCAATTAGAAATAGGACAGGCGCGTTTCGATCTACGGCGCCGACGGTGTCACGCGTGTCGCGATTCTGACCAAAGAATATTGCGCGATATTGCTTGCACGTGGACTATAGAGCTCCTCGAGTTTGGATCGTCCACCAGTTTCCTATGATGTATTTTTCAAAAATTTTTTCAAATCGCGATTTAATATCTATGCAATTTATTAGCATGAGTTTAATGCGATTAGTTTATGTGCATAAATATATGTTACTGTAATAAGTAAATAACTATTACCTATCTAAAATTGATAACAGTAAAATATAAGTTTTTTCATAGTTAGTCTGAAATATGTAAAACGGACTATTATCTATCTAAAACTGATAACAGTAAAATATAAGTTTTTTCATAGTTAGCCTGAAATATATAACGGATTGATTGTCGAAAGCTGTCCAAACTCTTGCTCAAGGAACTCGTTAACAAATAGCTACGTCGAAAGCCAAGGCGCGTAATTGCCTATTAATCAAGATTTGTCATCTGTTTGCTTGCAGAACCCTTCTCGGATTGGTTGGAGGAAAAGATAGAGCTGCCTATCTGTATATTTGAAAATGTACCACCCATTTTCGAAATCAACCAAAACAACAAATCGCCGATATCCTCTGCCGTCGTCTATCAGACTGCCGCGAAGATATCGCAACAGCAGCAACAACAACAACAACAACAACAACCGCAACATCATCAACAACAACATGAGAAAACGCAAACCCTCTTGCAGGAATTCGAAACGGTTTTGGGTGATGTCGAAGCTTGCCATCAGACCATTCCGCCAACCAGTTCGACGCTCACTCCTCCGCAATCACCCTCGCATCAAGCGATCAATGTGGACACGCAGCTGCTGGTCACCCTGCAGCCCGTGCAACCGTTCGCTGGCAATCAACAGCTATACAACATTGCTCCAGCGGAAGAGCCATTGTACGTGAACAATTCGTCACGTCAGTGGAACGCCGAGAACATATCGCTGAGTCCACTCGGCGGGGATGTTGCGAATGAGTTGGCGGTAGTGGATGAATACGTTCGCTCGCAAGATATACCGTCTCCCGTAAGCCCGTGCAGCTCCGGTGGCAGTTGCATCTCGGCCGACGATTCCACCGACGATCCCGATTGGAGTCTCGAAACCGAGACAAGAAGCCTGAAACAAACGGTTCACGACTCTTCGAAACATCGCTACAAGCCGTACTCTCGATCGTCTCTCGAAGACAAGAAGGTGCGAAAGAAGGAGCAGAACAAAAACGCGGCCACGCGTTACAGGCAGAAGAAGAAGCAGGAGATCAAGGAAATACTAGGCGAAGAGCGCGAACTGGCGGAGCACAATGAGAGTTTGAAGGAGAAAGTGAAGAACTTGCAGCAGGAGATAGGATATCTGAAGGGATTTATGAGGGAAGTGTTCAAAGTCAAAGGTTTTCTCAAATAATCCATTCGTCCAGGAACCCTCACCGCCGTAACAATTTGATGATCTTAATTTTATAGCGATTTCGGTCTGCACCATTGTGCCACACTAGTGCACAGTTTAAAGCTGGTGCAAATGGGGGGTGCAATTACACCAACTGGCTCCAATTTGTGAGAGTCAGTTTGTGTACATCCATTGCAGTATACCGAGTCCAGACGAGCACGCGGCACTGGCGAGAGATCATTCGACCAGCGAAATTCGACGCAACACCCGAAATGTTCAATCGATGCATCCCAGCCGAAATCGCTACTTAGATATATTTGATAATTTTATTTTTAGATATTTACTCTCTTTTTGCCACTAACTATTTTACAATTGTACTAATATTTACTCTTGTTTCATGTTATTCATTCGTGAACTTACTTAACAAGTATTTTAATAGGTATTTTATACGTAATAACTTGTCCGCAGCTTTTTAAAGAATTTCTACAGACTGTCTCTTTTAGAATAAAATGTACAATCCCTAATCTACTCAAGAGCGGAGGTCCATTAACATCGGCGGTGCGTTAGGTAACTCGTGTGTAAATTGAGCATGCGCGTGAAGTTCTAAGCGAAACCTGCTTGCTCGTGCACATTCCACCAAGTTATCTATCGCACCTCTCTCGGATGCGAATCTTTTCATTCCTATTAATTTTTACCCTTTATTGCATAGTTATACTTTCATACGGCAAATTATGTAGCAAACAATAAATGGGTTCAAATGAAGAAAGTGTACAAATGCTCTTTTCTCATCGAGATTTCATTTCAGGAAAATCCCATTCCATTGGCGTTCTAAGTTATTGACGACATTGATTTATCTAATGTGAAAAACATCTGACATTTCTGGCTTGTACATCGTTCTTCCGTTTTCTAGACGAAAGGAAATTTTAAACTTTATAGAAATGCGAGAAGACATACAATACAATTAACAAGAGTTGCTTATCAGACAAACCTTGGCTTATGAATAAATAACTCTGAGATTAAAATTTTGGATGAAGCAATACGCCTGTTTTTTCTAGCTGAACTTGCACTGTTTCTTTTTCTCTGGACGTGGAAAAAGAGGAAAAATAAACCATTTATTTCAAGAAGTTCAGCTAAAAGAACAAGTCTAATATCTATTTTAAAAATTATAATATATCCCAATATTTTTATTTTATTAACGAAAAATTTAAGAATCTGAAAATTTCCATAGATGAGTTTAGCGCTCGAAGATATTATATATGCATCGAGTTTCTTGGGTGTGGTAATTATATTTGCATTGTCACACTGTCTGATAAAACAGACTTAATTATATGTATGTAGTATACAGCTGCAGGAGTGGGAGAGTGTCGTCAGCTGGTATCTTTCTCGCTCGAAGATCGCAATCGGCTTTCTTCCTTAAACTGATGCTCTACTTTATTTCCCTGTTATCTTTATCATTTATAAATCTATTTTTAGCTGTACTTCCTATATTTCCTTATGTTTCTTATTTAATTTTAATAGAGAAAACGCGAAAAGGAGAGATTCGTGTCGAACGTAGGATGCCTAGATTTATATATTTTCATCTCTATCAGATTTTTGCACATGATATAACCCTGTACTAACAAGTGTGTGAGAAGTGTGTTGTAAGATTTTTTTATTTCCTTTATGCTGAAGCGCCCGAGGATTTCCTCGTGGGCCGTTCTCGACGGCCCTGTACAAGTATCGTAGTGGGAGAAAAGTAAAAACAAGAGTTCGGCAGCTTCTCCCTTCCTCCACGACCTCGGCTGCTTCGTGAGGCTTGTTAAATTAACGGGACAGTTTTAACATTCGTGACATTACGGTATAGTGGCATTTACCGCCGACAGAAAAATATAACTCGCAAGGAGAAAACTGAAGCGTTAGCACGGCAGAATTTTTTTTTTTTTCAAATTGAATGACGGCCGCTGAGCAAACAGAACCATCGTCCTTTTTATCAGTTAAAATCTTGCACACGCTAGACACGAGTCGCAGAAATAATTTATGCCGCATTTCTCGGTTTTGACGTCATCGATATCGATTGGCCGACCTTGGGCAATTTCTTTCTCTATTTTGTACGAGATGTTGTACACACACATGTATATACACATCTCATTAATATTTAACAAATTCTTGTTTTTTTCCTTCCTCTCGCACGCGCACGCACTCGTGCAAAAGGTCTCGGATAAATTTTCGGAAGTTTCCTCCGATCGCCAGTTCCCGCGGATCAATATTGATAGATCCGAGAATAAAGGAACGTTTGAGCGAAAAAAAAAAAAGAAATCAATGTTCGGAGAGACAAAGAGCAGTGGTTTATACTCCTAGTTCATTGTATCTTTATTTCTTTTTCTTTTTTAACACGAGTGCACACACACTCAAATGCATAATTATATACACGCACACGTACGCGCGTGTATCTTCTTGTAATATTTACATGCGATATTAATAATACAACAAATGAGATATTTCAACAGTTTTTTTTGTCTGACGTAAAATAATGAAAGTCGGCTACACAGAAACTTATTCGTAACGCAATCGTCCGCTGAACTCTCCGTTACCGTTATTACTTGCGAGAAATGCATTTTTCTTCTTTTTTTTTTGTTTTATTCAAACGTAATATCTTCTCATACTTCGTCTCTTAAGCGCTTCACATTTTACTATATATACAAAATACCACATATATTTTTATTACGTAATCACATACATGTATATATATTTATTTTTCTGTCGTTTCCTTGATATTTGCATCATTTATTATTTGCGTTGAGAAACTCTTTCTTTTTTTTTTCCCTTGGAGATAACATATAACTATTGTCCAAAGTTGATTATTTATATCTGTGACCTTCAATCTAAAATTTCATTTATAATGCGTAATATGTGATTATCATGAATGTAATTAACACGTTTCGATGCGAATTTACTACACGTCGCGGATCTCGAGCTCCTGGAGAGGTACACTCCAGTAAGAGTCTCGCAATCACATGGCACATATTGATTTATAGATTCTTAATGTCAAACATTAACTGCACAGCTCACACATCGATCGATAACGATAACGTGTTAAATACATATTAACAACAACATTCTCTCGATTTCAATGATAAAATGCACGACCGCGTGAGATAGAATCCTTTTGTATTTAATAGCTATTTTTACTCGCTATGCTTTTATACTCGTTCTAAATTAATGTACATGTAATATACATGCGGTTAAATCACCAAAGTAAACGTGAAAGCACCCACAAATTAAGATAACAAGAATAGAGAATATTGTGCAATCTAATACTTTATATGATCAAAAGTCGTTTCACTATAAAAATGTAGCCTTCTCAGCCTTGCACGGTTGTTCGATGCGGGCACACATATAGATATACACACACTGTATATATTTAAAATATATATTATAATTTAAATATAATTTAGTTATGTTACATAATCTAAAAATCAGAAAAAATCAAATAACTGGCGTTCTATTATCGCCGTTTTACGAGGGCAACAAAAACTAAGCTCACATTCCGATAGAAATCAACAACAAAAAAATTTACAATTATAATTTACAGCACAAATGTCTTCACGACGTTCGTAGTATGCTTTGCGGCAGTATAAAGAAAAATCCGACACATCCAATATAGATATAATATATATATATAAATAAATTCCTGGAATGTTCTTGTATATAAGAATTCGTTATGAGTATTTGTAAATTATTAGACTTGCTTGAATCACATAATTAATTACGAGTCATCATAAAAGCTATCTTCTTTTTTTTTTTTATATAAAAGTAATCATCATATAAAACTTATTAAGTGACTATATAAAATAAATGTATATCAGGAGAACAAACACGTTATAACTATACAAATTGCAACATCTCTTATTCTGTCCAAACAAATGTCTAAGTAAAACATAAATATATAATTAATCACAATATGCTCTGTCTCTCTCCTCTCTTGACTGAGATACACATGCTTGCCCTTTCATATTATGTATCTTCTATTAAGGCGCGAAAAATAAAATTAAAACGTAAACTTAACAAAATGCAATGTATATCTATATAAGTTGCCAATTATATTGTCTCCCATGCGTGGAAGCCTAGGAAGAGTGCTTATACTTTAGTTCAAGGAAATTAATTAAGCGCGAATCTATGAAAAATTTTGGAAGGTCCTATGTTGTCGTGTCGCCTTCCTCTTGTTCGAGTCTGGAAGAGCCGCAGACGCGGCATTTACAGCATACGATGCAAGGTGCCGCTAATAATAGCAAGGGCGATGCGACAAGTAGAAGTAGGCCGAAACCAGCGAAGATCCCGATAACCTGCGTTCGATGCCATATCACGGACGCGCGTGAGTGGCCCAATTTATTCTTACATGGTCCCTTGTCGTAATGTCGCAACAGAAAGTCATCCTACGCATCAACAATTCAAGAATCAATATGCGTCTTACGCCAAAGCATTCCCATATATATATATGTATATTAAAGTAACATAATGTTAAAGATTTGGAACGTTGACCGTATTACTTTTTTTACCACCCTGGATAATACTCACATCTAAGGATGCTAAGCAGTACCAGCAAAACACGTGTTTACATCTTTTGCACATCATTTGAGCACAACCTTCGTCCTTCTCTATCGGCACGGAACACATAGGACAACATTTTATGTGATCGCTACCGAACGGTATTCCTAATGGAAGATCTGAACAGGGCCCGTTATGCCAAGGCTCGCGACATATTGAACAGAAATCTGTGGAGCAGTTGGGACAGTGAACAGGACCTAAAGGAGTGCCGCTTCCACTGTTGCCGTTTATCGAACATATTGTTTCACAACCCGCTCGTGGACACCACGCACGTCCCTTGTCCATCGACACATCTGCACACAAATTATATTGATTGTAGCAAAGTGTTCAAGTACAGGCGGATCTCCTTGCGGAGAGGACACTTTTGCACCTAACTCAATAGATACAGAAAATTCGTATTGGCTTACCTCTATTTAACCGAAACTTGCAATGCTTTTCCACGAGTTCCGTGTTGACAAGGCTCGATATCTCCTTCAAGGATAGTATGGCGCCATGATCGCACTGAGCATCAGGACAACTAATTTCGTACGCACCTTCCTCAATCTCAAATTCTACGTAGGCACGCATGCACTAAAAATCATCAGAAGACAGAATAAGTATTTCTCTCTCTCTCTCTAATGTCTAAACGCACATCCCCTTCAGTGTGGGGTTTGGTCCCCCAAGTGGGCAAAACAATTTGGGAAGTCAGACTTACATCTTTACAATAGGAACAACCGCATCCCTCGATCTTGAACGTTTTGGAGAGAGAAGTGTCGACGAGACACAGTTTACAAAATATCCGGCCGATTGTCTGCTGCGAGCCCGCGGGAACGAAATTGCCAGCGGCCAGGCTGTAACGCGAGCTGGACGCCAGGGACAGCAGGCTGGAGCAGCGGGAGCAGACTCTGCTGCGATTTATGGGTCTTCCCTCGAGGGCCGAGGTGCTCAGTCCCACGGCGGTCTCGCATTTTCTCAGCGCGCCAGGACCCAGGTTCATCCAACTGCTGCCACGTGCCTCCAGGCTCGCGCTGCTCTCGGGACGTAAGAGAGGCGCGTCTGCCTCCCTGCTCGGCACGGTCCTCTCCGTCAGGGAGAGATTCACCACGCTGGCCTCCTTGCGTATCAGGGGCAGCCTGATGCCGCTGAGCTTCGCCTTGTCGATTTTCTTCTGGCTGGGCGCGATTTTAGCGGGCGGATTGACGGACGTGACCGAGCTGGTCGCGACACCCATGTCCATCAGTGGTGCCCGTCGCAGGACGAGCGAGTGTAGGCTAGGCATCCCCTGGACGTCGCTACCAGTTACGGGCGACGGGGTGGCCTGCGTTCGCCCCTCCCCGCCCGGCGGGGTGCCCCCTTCCGCGCCCGTCGTCGTCGTTCGCTCGCCGCTGACAGTAAGGGAACGCATGAACCCGGATAATCATACGTGCATGGCGAAGTCGCACGGTTTACCCCGGTGTAGCTGCGCGGACGTTGATGGACCCGCACGCCGCTCGTCATAATCCTCGCCGTTCGAGCGTCACCTCCTGCACATACTCCTACGTGATGCGCGTCAAGCTTCCGAAACGGCACCGTGGAACCACCTCATCTTCGTTTTGTGTCGTAATGGTTTTTCGCACCTGTACCGTGTTTGACGTTACACTTAGTATTCCGCGCCTCGATATCGAGCTCGGGGGACGGACATGTCCGTCCGATGGACACCACGACGTACGGAACACCCACAACAGCTGATCGTCCTCGGCGGGCCTCGAGACGAAGAGAGAAGGAGAGCGAGCGAGCGCGCGCGCGCGCGCGCGCGTGCGAGGTAACCCTCGGAGTGAAGGAGCGCGAGTAAACCGGAGTAAACGCGCTGCCTGGGCAAAAACGATGTGCGCCCGAACCTGACGCGCGGCGGCACCTCCAACGATGACGGCGGTCGCGCGCTGTGCCGCGTCGTGGTCCGCGCGATGCAGCGCTTCTCTCTCCACCGCCAACGATCGTTGCTAATGATTCGCCGCACGCCGCCGTCTCCGTCGCCGTCGTCGTGATCGCTTTCACTGTATGTCCACGGTATATACGGGAGACGCGTCCCACTCCGTCGTCGTCTCGTGTCGCCTATGTCAGCGCGCCGCGGTCTTCGCCAACATTTTCACCTTCGCCGTCGCGTACAGTCACACAGAGAGGCCACCGTGGTTACACTACTGTGCTGTGTGCACGCCTGCACGGACACGCACAGCCACACACACGCGCGCACACACGGAGAAGCCCGCGCGCGCGCGCGCGGGCGCGCACGGCGCGGCGCGCGTTCATAAATTATCCGAACAGCGATAGTACTTCCGCCCCCGCTTCCTCATTCGTTTCCCTTCTCGCCCGAGAGAATAGACGGAGAATGGCACCACGGTCGCGTGGCTACCCTAGCACTAGCTCGCGATCAGCGGGACCGTTTCTGTTTTGACGTCGTCGCGACGTTATTATACAAACCGCGGCTGACTCATTTATCGGCGCGCCGTACCGCGCGCACGAAAGATCGCTCCTCGGCGGCGGTGGCATGCCACGACGAGCGAGAGAGCGAGAGAGCCGGCGACGGGCGGGCCGCGAGGGAAGCCGCGAAAGCGTTTCGAGACTGACGATGCTCCGTCGATTTCGCGACATTCGCGTCACCGTCTGATTCAGCTACACTTTCTGCACTCCACTCCTACTCCTCCTCTTCCTCTCCTTCTCCTTCCCAGGTCCCGGCCCGTGCCTGGCGGGCCTATATAGCCCGCTCAAGCTTGAATAACGTGCGCTCGGCAAAACTCTTGATGACCTGAATTGTCATATTAAACTTACGTTTTAATTTTGGATTTACGCTGTCGCTGATATATTTTTTATGAACTTATAGCGAGCTCTCATCAAAGTCCCTTAATTGTCAAGTTACGTGCAATGAGAAAAAGCAACTGCAGAATGAATCTCCGATATATAAGCGTGTGCAATTGTGCGCAATATTACTCGTTTTGCATGATAATTAATATGAATGTATATATCGCCGGAACACGTCATAACAACGCCGTCTATCCTTTCCGATAAATTAAATAATTAGGAACTGATATCGCTAGTTAAATCATTAGCTCCGGCTGTTTCGCGATTTAGCACGATCGAAACTCTCGTAATTGACTTTCCGTGCACGTTTCCAATGAAACCAATTCACGGAAAGATGTCTATCTCTTTATTTCTATATATAATCAATTCGAATCGAAGGAAATTCCATGAGCGCAATTAAAAACAATCCGACGAGAGGAATGTGATGTGCAACGGTATCCTATGGCCGTGCAGAACATTCCAACGGTGTCGTAACGGTCCGACAATATTGCCGCAATGTTGCTGCAACATTGCTGAAATGTTCTGCACGGGGACAGATCGATAGGCTGATGTTGCATAATTTAGAGATACAGGCAGCTATTGATTAATCTCTTTCGAAGGCAGAAGAGTATACGTAAAGGGAGAAAGGAAAAACGGAGAAAGAGAGAAAATTATTTAATCTTACGATTATTACAGATTTCTCGATTATATCGATCAAATTCTTTGCTAGAAAATTTTCCTTGTTTCGTCACTAATCGTGATTAATTCATGACATGGTGATATTCACGAAATACACACGCATCCCGCGTTAACAATTATATATGTCTGTGATGCCGTCTCGACCGAACTACTTTTCTTCCAGAACGATTAATCAATACAAATTCTCAATTAGAGTTTGAAAAGATGGATCTAATCCAGTAAAATCTATCTATTATATTTATTTATGTTATTCAATTTTAATTTGGATTTTTGGTGAGTTTTATTGGGTTGGACTCACTTTAAAAAAAAAACCACCAAAAATCCAAATTAAAATTTAATATTATAAACAAAATAAGAGATACATCAAGGGTCAAAGACCAATCGATTTGGCATGGAATACTTCTTATAGGTATCTATTATTTTAAATAATTAAATTAAATAAATTAGAAATTAATTCATAATAGAATTGTCAATTGAATAGCAAATTTTATTAATCATTAGTTGATTATAAAAAGTAAAAACGCACAAAACCCGAAAAAAACCCAGTAAAATTCAATAAAACCTAAAAAAATCCGGGGGACTGGTCTTTAAAAAAAAAAACCCTGCAATTAACTGAAAGCACGTTTATGATCACACGAGAGAAATAAGCTGGAAAATAATACTATTTAATTCATAAATTATCGTACGTTTTTTTTCATATCTTATAAAATCTACACATTAAAATGTATTTAACGTAAATATATCGCGGCATAGCTGCAGTAGTGTCATATCTCGAAAAATTACAATTTTGAGTTATTCATTGGAAAAGATGGATTTTGACGTGTACTTTTATCTGGTGATGAATAACTCAAAATTGTCAATTTTCGAGATATGACACTATTGCAGCAATGCCGCTTAGATTGTAAAGACGATTATATGACAAGTGTAGAAAATAAAGTTAGAAGAATTGTGAAAGAGAATTTAATTAGTTGAAAAGTTTATTGTTTATATCATATGTATATTAAATACAAAAGAGACGATTAAATTATCTTATCGTACGACGAGTAAATAAAGTTTAATTTAGATTGAATCATCCAATATCGCAAATACGCTTATATTCTATGTATAACGCCATGCGATATGTATGTATATATATAAATATATACATATTGATATTTACATACGAGCGATTTAGATAATGCGTTTATCGCTCATTAGAAGAGACTTTCCTACGACATACATTACCCAGGCAGCACAATTGAAATTTACTAAAGTTAAAAAAGAATTTCTTTCCAATACTTAATACAAAAAGATTCCATAGAAATATATTCCTATGACACTTCTATTTTAAGTTAAATCGAAATTGCTCTAAAAGAAGTCCTTTTTCGGTTCAAAAAGACTCACTCACCTGCATGCAGTGCCCGGCATTGCCAACAAATAGACGTGACAAAGTTCCATTTCTCGTAAGAAAAAAATCAGAGAATAAAAGGCGCAATATTATGAGGTTTTTCGTGTCGTAACTAAATTTGATGAAATTATGGGTGCATTCAGCGGACTCAACAGTCAAGTGATACATTCAGCTGACGAATCCACTGTTGAAATGCACCCAATGGGCGCGTTCAAACAAAGCAGATCAGTGAGCACTCGGTGATTCTTTAATATAATTGTATTTAGCTCTTTGCTGGATTTGAGTGGAGAAACCAATTATAACAAAGAATCTCTGAGCGATTTCTGCTCACTTATCTATCTGCTGAACGCGCCCAATGAAAATTTTGAAGGGTTTTATGGAGCCTTCAAACTTGGATTTCAAGATAAAAGTAAATAAAGTTTAAAAGTACAACTTCGTTTAGTTCTGTGTAAAAATTAATTTAGAGATTTATTTCTGAGAATTATATATTTGTTGTGTTTCCTGGGATACTATTTACAAATTATTTCAATTTTAATCGTAAATTTTTATACACTATAAAAAAATTTTGTATCTGAAAAAGAGCTCAGAATTGGTAGTATAAAAGCGAAATTTTTTAGAATTTTTAAGAATGTTTTTAGGCCAGAAATTGGATGAAATAATAATTCATTTTATAATTCAGAATTTAAAAAAGAATTATTTTTCTAGTTTGTGCTGTCTGAGTAGCATTATAAATATACATTCAAATTTAATTGTATAAAAATTGAGCAAATCATATCTGGAGTAACGATCACATTGCATACAGCTGAAATGTTGGAAAATGTCAGTCTGGAAACTAAACTGAGAAATATCAAGCTGTCGAAAATACCAAACCCAAGTTAATAATTAAAGGTAAAGTGAATGTAAATAATTAAATTTAGATAATGCTTGCCCATTCAAAAAGAAAGCACGGCGTATGGAAGTTTTCCGATCCTACATCATTAATAATAGGCGCGTTCAGTTTCCCATCCAAATGCTCATATTATTCTTGTTCAATATTCGGTGAACAGGGATAAAATAATATCTGGATGACTCTTGAGCGGGAATCTGAATGCGCTCCTAAAGCCTCTGAATAAAGGCAGCATGCCGTTTGACCGTTTATAATTGAGCGCCGAACGAAAAACGACAATAGCGGATAAGATAATTTTCTTACAAAGTAGAAAATACTTTGATTATTAGCTGATGTTGTACATAATATATTTTCCTTTATTATAAATAAATTATCTTATCAAAAGTTATCTTAACAAAAAACACATGTATAACATGTACATACGTGTGTGTTTACTGTATGTACATATACACGCTATACATGTGTATGTACATATATAGTGTGTACATATTTGCATATATACAAACATTTAAATATAATACATATATATATTTTTTTGTGTGTATTTTTCCATGTATCAATTAATTTAACTCATTTCATGCATATCATGTTTTATGCATAAAAGTATTAAGATTTATTAAAAAATTAGAAGTTAGCGAGATATTATACATTTTATATCAAAATAAGCAAGAATAAAATATAAAACCTCGTAAACTATTAACTTTTCAATATCTTTATCTTAATACTGCATTTATATGCAGAATAATTTAGAGGAATCATATTAAAAAAAATTACATAATTCTATTTAAAAGAACGAATTTGACTAAATTTTATTAAAAATTTTCCACTTATAAAAAAATGTATTAAAAAATAACACTATGTAATGAGCTCTCTCGAAATTATGTAACTTTTATATACAATAATTTTTCGTACTTATAATTTAATAATTTACAAGTTATTCGAAGTTAAGTTCTTTAACGATCATTATGAATAATAGATCATCCGATGAAGTGAAATTATATCAAGTAACTAATGTACAAAACATTCCCCACTTTGTGCTACGATTGTTATGTCTGTCGTTATCTATCGCTATCTTTCATTTAACGTTCAGTGACACTCAGCGTAAACAATCAAGCAAGTACATTGTTATTTTAGAACCTTTAATTGGGTTCGAATAACTTCCTTAAAAATTGATCTTTGAATAACATTACGTATGTTTAAATTATATGAAAATTCTCTTTTGCTTAGAATTCTCTATCTTACGTACTGTGACAGTTAAATGTTCATCAGCAATAAAAAATCAAAAAGCAAAAATCTTCAAATACTTTCATGAATTTATCATAAAAATGTCTTTTAAGAAATTACAATTATGTTGTGAAAATCGATATTTTGCCCTAAAAGAATGTGTGAAGATTCATCTATTAAAAGAAATTAATAAAAAGAAACAAAATGTTCTATTGCGAAATCAAAAATTATATACAATAAATTATACTTATGTATGCGATCGGAAGAATTTATGAGTGTAATACCAACGGAAACAATTACTATTTGGGTTCAATTTCCGAAATAATGAATATCAGCTAAATCGTCAAATCAAATCCGTAATATAAACCACGCTGTTTGCGAGATTACCTACAAACTATTTTTATCACAATTACACATCGAATGCAAGAATATAAAAATAAAGGAGAAACAAGGAAGGAATAGTAATCACGAAACTTGATGTTGCTCCTTTACAAAGAAATATTTCCAGGTATACTGTACTGTCCTTTTCTAGAATGCGTATCGACTGCTCTGACAGCAAAATAATAATTATTACCCTCGGAAAACTGTAACAAGGATATTGTTTTCATAAGTATTGCAAATTTCAACCAAGAAGCCTCGTACCCTCTAACGAGGTACAGCGTTGATGTTGCAATTTACCTGAGTCAAGGTACACGCCATAGGAAGCGGCAGTGCACGCACATCCCCTACTTTCTTCCACAATGACGTGTTAGGATTTACGCCAGCGACTTCCTGGTACGCGTACAATTGATAACTAGCAATATCCGCATATTTATCCGACAGGCTCATGTTCCAGGATAGCACTATCCCTGTGGACGCAAAAATAAAGGAATAAGAGAATTAACTAATTTGTTATTTTTGGAGATTATATTCCCCGATTGGGGAACTTTTTTTTCTTTCCTTTTACTCCACCGGCTGGTGGATTATAGTTGAGGAACTTATAGAATTTCGTAGGTTAAAAGTTGAATTTGAATTATTTGTATAAAAACAGAGACATAGTTTTACCATTTGACACTTTTGAAATTTTCAACGATGGTGCAGGCGGTGGAAGCTTCCAGCCAGGCGTCGGTGCGTAATTTGGAATATCTGGCAGTGGTGCTGGATGCTAAAATAAAACAGCACTCAAAATCATAATTGCGTTCAACGAAAAAAATGTAATATGAGTAAATTCGTTACTCTTGATCACAGATTTCTATTTACAGATTTCTATTTTACAGATTTTTATTTTTTAAATTTTTCTTTTTAGTATAGAAATTGTGCTTCTGATATTCACCTTATTTATTTGAACATTTGACAAAACTGGCGTGGTTAGTACGCGCACAGCACCATTCGCGATCGTTCCTGTTGACAAAAGACAATGAAGTGAATAACACAATGTAAAATATTACCACAAGCAATCACATTTTCTGTAAGCATGTTTCACTATAGCTCTTCTAAAACTTTAGCATTAAAACGTTAAAAGCAATGGCCTACGCAATTAATAATATCCGTATATTTATAGAATAGGGTTATATTTGCTTCTATTGACGTAATTCAATTACCTGTCTTATAAGTAACAGTTGAAAATTGCGGTCTGTTAGATGCGCTCACTGGCCGTATCTAGAAAATAATTTGAATTCCGTATTTATATGAAATAATATTACAACTTTCTCATTCTTAAAAAGAAAAGTTTTTTTGGCGGAGAAACGAAAAATAGTTTGCTACTAACTTGTACTTGCTGAGTAGGATTTGTTATCAGTACTGGTCTCTGCGAGCCTGTGCTCGCACTTTGCATCACATACGCCACTCTAGGCGGCTTTCCATTATTCTAAATAAATATATATATAACATGTAAATATATATGCACACATATCTTTTGTTATTTTCTTAATATTACACGATTATATACACAAAATAGATGAGAGAAGAAATGCTTACGATTGGTGTTGCTTGTTGATTAGTTGTTATCACTTTTATACTAGTCGGTTGCGAAATTGCTACGTTCGCCGGTATTGTTGCTTGTATTACCCTTTGGAAGGACTGCACAGGTTTCGATGTAGTATTCAATTGCTGGTCAATTGTAGATGCAATCGTAACTTTCACATTTGCTGTTATAATACAAGATTCGACATGTTAAATATAATATAGAAAAACGCAATGATTACAGATGATTTATCATCACGCGTGATGAAGACAGATCATGGCTTTAGAGCATGTAAATGCGCATACACATAAAAAAATAGATAAACATACATTTATTCTTCTCTTCCTCATCTGTGAGATCAATAAGATCGTTACTTCTTAGCTTCGAAACTATCGGACGATTTACTTGATTTTGTATTTTGCCATTTAAGACAAGGGTCTGCTGCGGCTGCGACTGAATCTGCTGTTGCGGCTGCAAAATTTGTGTTAATTAAATTAATTATTAAATATTATAAAATAAGTAATATGATTTGAACTTGCGGTAAATATTATTAGTTGGAATAAGTTTGACGTTGCTTACAGCAGATAAGATTGGCTGTACGTTCGTAGGTTGGTTGGATAGCGTTAACGTGTGTTGGGTTTCCATGGGTTTAGCAACAACTAAAGCCGCGGGTGTCACACTCGGAATAAGAGGCGCAGTTTGGACCACGCTCTGCGTGACTACAGGGGAAAACATGGTCACCGCGGACCGGGGCGATCTTATTTTTATTCCACCGCGCTTCGGGCTTGACGCATTGTTATTCGTCTCAGTAGATGAAGAAATACTGCTGTTCGTAGCGTTTACTGTAGACTTATTCATAGCTTGCCGTAAGTTTTGAATTCCATGTTCCTATTCAAATGAAACATTTAATCGCCGTTAGCGTAATTTCAAGGAAATATTCGCGAAAATGTAATATTAAAATACATCTTTGCGATAAATAAATACCGTTATGAAGCTGACTTGCAAGCCTACGGATCGATTTATCTTTATGGGCGGGACAGTTTTATCGGGATTCGCACGGCGATCTTTCTCATTACGAATCAGCACCATCTCGAAGTCCTTTATTTGCTTCATTAATTGCTGCATTTTTACACGTGTTACTTCCTGATATCTTTCTGATATGCGAGCCTGTTCTCTGAGCTGTCCAATTTCGCTGCGCATCGTGATCGTTTCGGCGATCTTTTGAATAAGGAGCTCTTCTAGTTCCTTAAGCATATATATATTATAATAGTAAATATACGATAAGTAAGACTTAGCTTTCGTAATTAATTAAGCTGTACGATAATAAATCGTAAAAAAATATTTTATTATAATACGAATGTTTTTGTACCTCCTGCGTAAGTTTTGGTAATCGCTCTTTAATATCCCTACGGAAAAATTTCTCGACATAGGATAATTGTGCGACATCTTTCTTTTCCTCAGACTTGACATTCATCTTCGTTTTCTTAACATTACCATTAAAAATCTCGCTTTCCGATCTATTACGTTTTAATAGCGGATTTAAAGGTGGTGGTGATGAAGAACATACATCCTGATTCAATTTTTGCTTTACATATGTTACAAATTCTTCTGTACTAGCGCTAGAATCGCTGTCGCTATTAAGATACTTTTTCCTTATTATTTCTTCCGCATTTCTAGCAGTCTTCCGCTTTTGTCGTCCACTCTCCTTTTCTTCTGTAAGAATAAAATGCAAAAAAACTTAAAATTTATGAACATGCCATGATAAAAAGATTTTTATGTATGATAACAAAGCATTCACAGGACAATGTACAAAAAAAAATGATTTATTTTAAATATATACTTTCGTATAATCAATATTGACAGAATAATTTTAAAATTTATAATAATAAAATAATCTTTTTTTATATATTCTTGGTATTCAGACATATTTTCTATTCTTATATTATTAAATACCAATAAATATCAGAATATTTTGTGTGACAACATATCGCGGCATAACATATTGCTGCAATAGTGTTATATCTCGAAAATTGACAATTTTGAGTTATTCATCACCAAACAAAAGTACACGCCAAAATCCATCTTTTCCAATGAATAACTCAAAATTGTCACTTTTCGAGATATAACACTATTGCAGCAATGCCGCGATATTTCCTTGAAGTTTTTGCATCCACAACCAAGTTATACATATAAATCATTCATAAATCCATTTAGAAACCATAAAATAATACTGCATTTGACTATATAGAACTATGTGTTAAGATCTTTATCAGATTTTTGTCACATGTTTTCTTTTTTTATTCAAAGAATCTTAATGTTTACAGAATTTGATGGAATGCCACATGCTGCTTTTGTGATGTTAAAGATTTCCTACCTTGTTTATCTTCCTCAGTATCTTGTATTTTATCAATTGTTTTAGTTCGTTTTCTTCTTGAAACGACAGTCCCAACGTTTTTAGTTCCGTTCTCATTATTAGGATTATTTGGATCGTTAAGTGTTAATACAAAGGTCCGTAATATTGCAGTGTCATTTACAGATTTATTATTAACATCACGGTCTTTGCTCGTTACTTCTGCATTGTTTTTGACATTGGGTGATTTATTTTGATTCTGTATCGCCGAAGTATTCGTCACCTTTTCTGTGATTTTTGATGTATTTGATACATTATCACTTTCTGTTTTATCCACAGGCTCTGATTTCTTTTTTTTACTTTTACGTGCGATAGTATCTTTATGAGATGATGAATCGTTAGAATTGTCGGATTTGATTAAATCTACATAATCTGAATCATTAAGTTCGGCATGTGTGTGTTTTAAAGAGTGATCATCATTTTTACTATATTTCTTTGTTTTATCTATCAAACTGTCATCACTATTATTAGAAACAATTGTAGACGTAGACAATTTTTCACCATTACATATCTTAACATTATACGTATGTACAAAAGAACTATTACTCTCTATATTGTTTAATTTATTTAGCTCACAGGTCGTAATTATTTCTTTACTATCGCCGGATATCTCTTTTGGATTTTTTTCACTGCAAATTATTACTGCTGCATTTTGAAGATTACTTGTCTGTATACGATTATTTATTTTATTTATTATAGATAAATTATCATTTTCTAATGTTGTATGTTTTTCAGATATTGCATTTGAACATGAATTTCTTGCATCCGTAATTTTTAAATCTTTGCTAGATTTTAACATACACTTTTCATTAGATTCACTAACAGTCGTACCAGTTTTTTCTGAATTATGTGTACTATCTTGTACTCGTTCGTTTTTGGATGTACATTCATCTAATGCCGAATTTTCCGGAACCTTAACTGCTGCAACAAAGTTTGATGACATGATTGATCTCCCTTTTTGTTTCCAATCTCTTGAAGATGAGGGGCAACATAAAAAGTGATTACACCAGTCCAATTTAGAAACTTGCAGGGATATTCTTGTTGCGATGAAAACCTGATTTGATAATTATTTACGACATTACCCTTCACAAAGACATTACCTGTATTGTGTTCCTTGCTGTGCGCTGGTTCTTCACTATTAGGCTTGGGAACTTCTTCCACAGTCTGCACATCAGAACATAATGTCTTCTCTACAACTGTATCTAAAATTGTTTCTAAAATTGGTTGTTCTGCAAACAAAACGCTAATATTTACATATATGCAAGAAACGACAGTTATAGTAAATAAAAAAAGTTTCCGTTTTACTTAATCATTTCTTTTCAAAACATAACTACTGTTTCTTTCCCTTTCCTTCTTCTGTAACATCTGTATTTCATATTTACAGATTTAACATTTTACAAATATTTTAAGTTACGAATTATTTTAAAGATAGTTCTATTAAAATATAATGTGGGATGAAATATATCAGAAGATAGAGAAAGAATTTAATAATATATTAAATAATAATTTTATGTTGTCAATCTCACAAGATAGTGACATACCAGCTGTTCTACTCGGCAATTTTAATTTTGCATCATTTGTTGCAGTATCCTCTTGTTCAGTCTCCTCATCGTCAGATAATCTCAAACGCAAACTATCATCGGACAGTGTATCTTCATCGTCTCCTTCCTCTTCTGCACCAAGTAATAATTCTTCTTCTTTCTCTTTTGACAGTTCGTCAATATCAGTTTTATTAACACGTGAGATTACAGAACTAGTTTCTGAATTATGCACTGTTCCAGTTTGTGCCTTCTCCATTATAAAATTGAATACAGTAAAATGTCACTGCTCATTAGTGACTATTAAATATCTTTCAATCTATAATTAAATAAAAAACTACATAAGAGATGTATGCACAATATAATACAATTTCATTTAACATACTCTACTATATATATCACTATTGAGTGTGAGTGTGTATTTATAAATATATATATATATATATATTAAAGACACTTTAATAGATATTAACTCAGAGGTAATTTATTAAATTAACAAAAAAAAATTGATATTCTAGTGAATACATTTGTAAATCTTTATTACAAGATGTTTACATCACAGTATTTATTTTGATTTCAAATTTATTATTTCATACCGCAAAAAAAATATTTCTGATGTAATATATATCCTCTATAGCACATCTTTAAATTATCACAAATTATAATATTTTTTAAGTACAATAAACCATTTACAATAAACATATTCAATTTTCAAAACTGCTATAGAAAATATTTCAAAATTATTTAAGATACCCGTGAAATAAAAATTATACAAGACAGGCACATTCCATTCCATATTCCGATTGACAGCGCCAGTATATAACTGACAATAATCCGCGTCATCAATTTTGTTCGTGAAGGTATTGTCAACGAAAAAAGTAGCCAATCGCAAAGTCGGCGTCATTAGCTGAGGTACTGTTCGTCTCGGGTAACCTCTCTACAATAACGATTTGTTTCTATACCGAAACCGAAAATAATAACGACAAATACGATATGTTTTGAAGAAAAATGAAAATAAAAGAAAGGAGGGGAGGGAGGGATAGGACAGATACAATTCCGATGCAGTTTTGAATAATATCTTTGCGATCTTTAGAACAAAACAGATGAAAAATACGTCAGAGACGTGTCTGTTTCTATTGTCAGGAAACTTTGCACCCGCAAAGTTGAAATTTCTTTGCTCGAAATTAAAAGAAAAAGGAAATTTAAAAAAACTACTTTGTCAAAATTAGCATATTCTCTCCCTCCCCTTTCCTCACCCCCCCTCTCCCTTTTCCATACATATGATACGTCTGACCTCTCTTTTTCCGCCTTTTGTGGATATCCGTCTCGTTTTTGGGACTAGACGGAACTTGTTTCTGTTTAATGTTTCGATAGCTGTTGTGTATCGCTCTTGATTTAGCGATCTCGTAGGTGCGTAGAGGTTACCCGCTAAACGAAGAGCATCTTAACATTCTGACGCTTACTGTACCATGTGCGCGCGCGCGCGCACCTTATTCTCGGGATCGATGCCCATCGTGCGCGAGGTCACTATTTTGTTGAACATAACCGATCGACGCATAAATTTAACGTCTCAATAAGACGGGAGGACCCATCGCGGCATCGCGCTCGTATGCCGACATGTACACAAATAGGTCGCGAAGATCGAACGGTACGCCCGATCAGGCCCTGCCTAGGGGGCCGAGGGCCCTGACCTTATCGAGGCGAAAGATGGCGGGCATCTCCCGAGAACAAGCATCTCTCGTTGAAAATCTTAACAGTATACTTTTGCGTGTGGAGAGGGAACTTTTGCTTTTCCTTCGTGATCGTCGACGTTATCTTGTTTAATTCAGAATTTTTTTTTTTTAATAAAGTGAGAGTGGGACTCGCGGATGAGGGCCATCGCGGCGAGTAAATGTGTCGTGTAACCTCGAACGGACGCGAGAAAACGCACTTATTTACTGTGAAATCACTTTAAGGTGCATCACCTTAAAAGAGTTACTATGCCCCTTAAGTGGAGCAAATTGTTTTGCATCGTAAGTTGTATCGAAGACCGCGGAGGACGCACCGAGGAGCTGCGGTTGCGAAGAGTGCGCTTTATTAGCGGGCGTTCGTTCGGCACAAACGAGACGCCACGAAGCGTACGGCGGCACTTGGAGAACAGAACGGTTTGCGAAACGTCGCGTACGTCGTTATCGCCGCTCCCCGCATAGCTCCCGTATCCTCAATTGCGAATTAAAGAAACCGCGCGAACTGGCCTCAGAGCGTCATCGACAGATCTGCGCATCGAGCGTGGAGCACCCGAGCACACTGCACTTAGGCCCCGAGTTTCCGTCCCGGAGATTGCCGAGCGTGCACGAAGCGTCGAAAAATGCGAGCAGAAACTGCGCTAGTGACGTCCCGATTCGCTGCGCAATAAGGGAATCTTATTTTTAACCGGCATATATAGACTGGCACTTATTTTTCAAAAAATTTCGTTGCTTCATTTGCGTCTGTCTAGAGCAGGTGCGAAGACAGTAATTCTGTACTTCCAAATCTTTTTTCTTTTTTCTTTTACTAACGTGGCCTCAAATCCAAAAACATGGTTCATTTTTAACAGCTGCATTCACACACGTTCCATTCGAATGTTTCCCTATAGCTTTCATGTGTTTTCGTAAATTCTCACTTGCGTTCGAATGTAACACGTGCATACAATGAGCTGGTCTTTATCGATTTTATTACCTTGTTGCAGGTAGCTTATTCGCGTCATTATACAGTTATATATATACAATTCCATGATGATCCTTACTTATATTGGGCCCAATTTATAATCAACTTGTTGATGACATCCAGCGTTTCATGTGAGGTCTTTTAATCATTTATACGTGGAATTTTCGTCACGGATTCGTTTTATTGAACGGTTGATGAATAGAACCCTTCCCTTTTACTCGACGCACCAATGGCAGAGTTCATGGTGGGGGAAAGCTCTTCGCCCACTTCGTACCGTAGGATAATTGATTTTAGTCAGGTCACTTCGATCTTAGGTCCAATACTTGACCGTAATATAGATTCTGCACTTTTGATCTTGAAAAATTAATTATCTCTTGTTGCTTAAGAGAAGGGGAGGGAGGACTCAGGTTTAGAAAGCAATTTTCAAGATCCTGCATTAATTGTATGGAAAATTAAATTTCGATGAAACGAGTTGATTTTAACATGTGTTGTTTATAATCTCATGAACGAAAGATGTCATGGACCATGTGTCGATCATCTGATCAACATGTTGATGTGCAATTAGCAAAACTTTAACATGTTCTGAAAATTCCTTGAAATATGTGTCTCAATCAATACCATTGAACTAATTGTAAGTTAAAAGAGAACAGTACTGATACAGAAAATAATTATTTGATGTTCCTACTGCGACGTCATCTGCGCGCGCACATGCACATACACGCACGCACACATAAATACATACATATAATACATACATGCGCGCGCGTGTGATGTCGAGTAGGAACATCAATCTAATCATTTCCGTTTCAATACTGCAGTTTTTTTTTTCAAGTTCATTGAAAAATGATGGGATTGAATAAAACACATTTCGAAGGATTTCGAAAACATATAAGGTCTAGCAGAAAAGTAATAAGACCATTTTGTAAAGCCATTTTTATCGCAAAAACTGGCAACACTGTCGAGTCGCCAATGACGTTGGAAGGAGATGTGATCCCTCCCTCTTTCAGTCAGTAACGGTTTCTCGTCGGTAGCGAATACTCGTTGAGTCATCGTTTTTTAGTAAATTTCTGCTTGGTGTGTTCGTCACAAAAATGAAGAAACAAAATCTGGAACATCGTGTACAATTTAAAGACTTTGAGTACGTGATAATGAATCGTTATCAAACGTCCGTTTAATTTTATCAAACATTTCGGTAGCACTATCGTTCAGTTTAACAAAAAATTTTATCGTATGTTGTTCCAGATTTTGTTTTTCCATTTTCGTGCGACGAAGACACCAAACATATATTTGCTAAAAACACGATAACTCCACAAGTATTCACACTATCGACGAGGTGGTTCTGACTGAGAGAGGGAGATCACTTCTCCTTACATCAGCGGCGATTCAACAATGTTGCTGCCAGTTGTTGTGACAACATATTATATAGACTCATTACTCTTTTTTTAGATCAAAGCTTAGGTAGTTGTAGACACAAATATTATACCTTTAACAGACCATAGCTTAAAAATTATCCAGTATTGAGCTTGTCCATATAACTCTTTTGTTCACCAGATTGTAAGCTACATCATATATAAAAACCAATTCATTTCATTAAGATCTAATTTACATTTAACACAATTCAATAAAAAAAATCACTCTTTTTTTCTCCGAAATATTATAATACATAAAAGATTTTTTATACGATTTCATCTTTTAAAGAAATTAAATATAGAAAAATAAAGTTCTAAATATATATTTATTAGTTTTTACTATATGTGAATTTTTGAGTTTCTGAGCTTAAATATTTTCAAAGTTATAAATCGTTACATACCCATTTTAAAAAAAACGCTACTAATGATGAATATATGTAATTGAATATATAATTGAAAAACCTTTATCAATATAAAAAAAAGAAACCAATAAAATTTTTATAAATGTTATCATTATTTATAAATGTTATCATCCATATCAGAATGTCAATTTAATATATATAAATATTATATTTTATATATATATATAAAATATATCATCCATAGTAGAATACAAAATTTGTATTAAGATTTAACAAAACAACGGCATTGCATCAAAGTTCTAATTTTTCAAAAAGTTTTGTTCTCTTCCTCATAAAAAAAGTAAGTTTTGAGATATTCGATTCTAGTCTAAAGACAATATGATATTTACAGATTAAAAATTTTTCTGATTTGTTTAGAATATATTATATAATAGATATTCGCATCTATCGAAGTTTATTGTTCACATTTCCGCGATAATGATTGGTTCTTTTATTTGCTCATTATTATATAATTATTAATTATTTTATTGCGTTTACTTCGTGAGCGGTTGTCATCGCATATTTTGACAATTATGCACATCGAAGAGTTAATACAAAGTATAATAAAATGTAATTGTATAAATTTAAACATTAAACAGCGCGCGCGAAGCGCGCTATTGTTTTTTAAAAAACAGAATGTGTATAGCAGTTTATAACTGAAAATATTGAATTAAAAATTCAATACAGGGTGTCTCATAATAGGTGTATCACCGTTCATGGGTAGGTAGAACGGACTAAACTGAATCGAAAAGTCCTCTACCATTTTGCAAAATTCGCAATCGTTAACAAGATATTAATTTTTGAAGATCGGTAAATAAACTTAATATCTCGTTAATAAATGCGAATTTTTACAAAATAGTAGAGGACTTTTTTGTTCTACTTAATAGTTGAATCTACTTATCTTGTCACGCACTTGCATTCAGCGGTGGGCCGGATGAATACGCGTTTATTCGTCAATCTTCAAAAATTAATGTCTCGTTTACGATTGCGAATTTTGCAAAATGGTAGAGGACTTTTCGATTCAGTTTAGTCCGTTCAACCTACCTATGAACGGTGATACACCTATTATGAGACATCCTGTATATAACTGAAAACATTGAACTTTCAAAAATTCATATACATATATTTTAAACATAAATAAATATGTACCCAAAATTACATTCCTATTCAATAGCTTTCTTTTCGTGAAATTTAGCCTTAAAAATTACTTTCTAGCACCCATTTCTATCAATGTAGATTTTAACTTCAATTTCGGTTTAAATTCCTTTTTTCTATTCTAGTTCTACGAAAAGAAATTAAATTAAAATTAAACATTAATAGAAATGGACATAAGGCCCATTTCTATTAATGTTATTCAGTGTAGATTAACTATAATCTTGGTTTAATTTACTCTTTATCTTTTTCTAATTCATAGAACTAGAAAAAGATAAACAATAAATTAAATCAAGATTAAAGTTATCTACATTGGTATAAATTGATCAGAATCCCCGTTCCCTTAATCATGTTTACATTCGTAAATATCATTCAATAGACATGCCGAAAGAGAAAATTGACAGAAAGACAGCTATTTCGTCTTATTTTAGAAAGTTTCTTCCCATACATCCTAGAAGTTGTTACTTCATAAGTATTCTGAAGTCGCGGTTGTTCCTCCTTCTACCTGGTACGCCTTCCTCCCCTCTCTCTCCAAATGACCCAATAGTTATTATCGGGATGCGAGTAGTTTAGTTTAGTGCTCGCACTAAATACATTCTTTTCTTAATGTAGATACCAACTCAACAACACAAAATCCAAAATCAGGACATGAGGACGCCTTAAAGGCATCTAAAAGACATCTTAAAAACGTTTTAAAAACGGAGGATTTTTTTATCACAAATGTTTTCGCAACTAAAAAGTAAATTTTCAAACATTAACTATTTTTTGAAAAACTATAATTATGGATTTGTGTATAATAAATTTTCTTTGCAACATCTAACCTACGTGTGATCACTAACATGAAAACACGATATCGACATTTATAGTAGACTCAATATAACCTCATTTCGTGACTGATTAAACTAAATTCCTCATAATTTTAAAACTACTCAAGACAGATAATCGAAAAAATTCTCTTTCCGTATAATTCCGTATAAACTTTTTCGCTGTAATGCTTTTGGGCGAATTTGCGAACAGTGTACAATGCAAAGAAATCTAAGAAATATATCGTATATTGAATTTTGAAATACAAAAATATTATAGTCTATGCTTTTGAATTGTTTAAGTTATAAAAATTTTTTTCAAGTTATAAAATTTTGAATGGTAGAACGCCTGCCCGGCAAGTAGAGAGATCCGAGTTCGATTCCCGGCTGAGGTGATATTTTTCGAATTTTTAAAATAAATTTCTTTTCAAGTTTGGGGAGAGGGGATTCTTATAGATGCATATTGGCATCAAAAGATATTAAATTCTCGTCAATTTAATTCGTTATAAACTTATAAGTGAATTCCAGCTTTATGTAAGAACTGTTTTAAGACCAATAAAAAAGCAGCGCGCAGTTTGTATGTCGTTGCACATTGTAAAAATAAAAATTATTACACACAAACATCCGTGTCCGCTCTTATAAGCATTATTTTATAGTTATTTATGATTTATGAAATTTTATTGTTTAAATTATAAAATTTTTGCCTGTGCATCTTTTTTACTATACTAAAGAAAGTCCATTGTTATTGTTATGTTTAATAAAACGTTCAACAATATTTTTATTATACCTCAAAATCCAATGTACAATATTTCTTAGCTTTTCAAAATAAACAAATAAATTTAAAAGAAATAACAGATGATGCTGTTTGTTTAATTAATCTTTTATTTAGAAATACTGCGCATAAAAACACCTTGAAAATGTAATTAGTTATAGTTTTGATATTTTTATAAAATTTAAAATTTTTTTATATTTTTACTAAATTTAATAATTTCAATTTCTTATTATACCTATTGTGGGCGTAATTTCTTATATATTATTATTTAGATTTCTTAGGTTATTTAGATTCTCAAATGTGATACATGCTTTACATTATATGTTTTTATAAATTATATAAATATAAATAAATGTATTTATTTCTTTATATTTTCATAATTTTAAGATTTATTAAATTCTTAGTAATTTTAATTTTTTAATTAATTAATTTATATTTATATAATTTATAAAAGCAAATTTCAAATGTAGTAATTTACATTTGACAAATTTAAATAACCTAAGGAATCTAAATATACAAGAAATAAGTGGATATAATGAAAAATTATAAAATTATCCAATTTATTAAAAATTTAAAAAAATCTTAAAATGTTATAAAAATATCATAAATATGTAACTACTTTACATGTAACTAATTACATTTTTAAGATATGTTTTTATGCCCAGTATTTCTAGAAAAGTCAACTAAACGAGCAGCGCCATCTGTCATTACTTTTATCTTGATAACAAAATACTTATATGCAATGATGTTGAAAAACATGAAATTATCTTCCGATTTTAATTGCAAAATCTTTTTCTACGTACAAAGATAAAATCTTACACTAATTAATTATAACCAAAAATATTATTCTCTGATATAAATAACGTGAAAAGATGTATATTTGTAGATGATAGATATAACATAAACATTTATTGTTATTAATGTGTATAAAAAATTTGTAGAACATCATAAATTTATTCTAAACACAATCTCAAAAGATATAAAGTATTTTCTGTTTGAAAATATTTAAACATAAATATAACACTGGTATTAACACAAAATAATGTACATTTATATAATCTATTGTATATATATAAAATACTGCAATCATATAGCTAAAAAATCTATGTATCGGAAAATTTCAACAAAAAAATAGATCAGGCTAATTAAAAAAAATATTTTGAAGCATAAATATCACATGTATTTGAATCAACCAAAAGTATATTTCGATTAGAGTGCAGTGTTATTGATGAATGTCAAATATAATTACTTATAATTAAAGTTCATTGAAGATAATCGAAATACATACAATATTATTTATATCTACATAATATTTAAGATTTAAGAAAATTATAGCGACATTATTTGTCGAATTTCGTAATAATATTATGCATCTGTATATTATACTGATTTACAATATTACAGTACAGTATGATGATATATAACGTTAAAACATATTTCTTGCACAATAAAAAACTTCTATAAGCCTCAAATTATTGAAATTATTCATTGTGTATGTGAAAAGAAACAACAACAAAATGGCGTTCACGAGGTTACTTAAAATGGTGCCCTTGTTATATATCAAAATGTCTCTATAGCAACAGCAAACGCTTCCGTATTTTTGGGCCGTAGATTTGGGCCTTAAGTCCCAATTGTAGCAATGTGCCTTATTCAATCTACGATTTAATTGTTATATTTATTTTGAGAAACCTAGATAAAAAAACAAATTAAAGAATTTAATTGTCTCGTTTTAAGTTTTAAATTACGCACAATCTCTCAATATAAACGTCTTAAAAAATAAACCTAAACGATATTAAGACGATATTAAGTACAAAATTAGAATGGAAAAAATCTCGATGTTTCGTCCGCGTACGTTTCAAACCTCACAACAATTGCTCGGAATCGCAAATACAGGGGATTTAAGCCTACATCGAGCATCTTACATTGTCGTGATAATAATAATTGATTGACTTACGTTATATTATTGCGTGAGAAGACTCCGGGCAATGGATTATTAACTTTTCGCCACGTGGAAACAGGTTATATTTACGGTAAATACGCCAGAAACCGACTGCACTCGTCTGATACTTGACCATCAGGCTGCAACATCGCAAACTAAACAAGCGATTCTGGCAACGTTGCTGGTTCTCCCACCCTACTACCGCGTTAGTATATAGTTGCCTACAACATTGTATTACACTAATATGGAAAATACAAGGAAATTACGATCAATTAAGGGTTTATATATGACACATCCGAATGAAAGAAACTTATTGAAAAACGAAATAACAAAGTACAAGGGCATCGTAATGAATACACGCGTATCCAAAAAGTTATCGACCTACACGTCGTCATGTGTTTGCATGTCACAACCTTATGTGCGCATGCGCATGCGCAGCGTTACCTAAATTCTCCGACCAACAATTTTAGCCTAACTGCAAGGACTGCGTCTTTCCTTTTTTTCTGCTTTTTTGTCGAAAAGCTTACACGTTTACGCGAATATCCCTTTTCTGCTTTCTTTTACACCAATATATTACATATACATGAGATACAAGTGGCCGTTATCGCAAATTCGGTAAGTAACGCAAATAGTTCGCTGCGTATCACGACCCTGGTTATTGCCACTAAGAGTATTCTACATACAATACTCTTAGTGTATTATTGTATGTTATGTATATACGATACTTGCAAAAAACGACGATATTGGCAATTATAGTATTAGTATAGAGATGCTTATCATGTTGCTACCATGTTGTTTTGAGATAGTGATACAACAGTGTGCACATATTTCAATTCTTTAGCACGTAAACACGGGAATCACCTTTGAAGCTGTTACTCGAAACCATCTTGTTTTTCTATTTATGTTCATAATACAAATCGCTACTTATTTCATGTATTATCATTTTTGTCATTATATCTACGGTATAGATATTCCTATAGTTTATTTTTGAACAAATTATAAAATTATGCAAAATTGTATAATTTTATACAGTTCTTAATTTGGGAGTTACCATAGTTTGTGATTTGTTCTTAAGTAACACGCATGCGTCTCATCATTGATAAATCTTTAAATCTAACTTAATCTCTAATAAATCAAGAAAGCTTTACATGTTGTATAATTATTTGTGAAAAACAATTAAGTATACTCTCTGATTCCGATCAATATACAGTGATTATTTTATAAATATATAAATTAGTTACTATATATTATTGAAATCTAGAATTCCAAGCTATTCTATCAAACGAATTGACATTTATAGTTATATATTTTTAATTTTGACATAACTGAAGTGATCTTTCTTTATTGCGAACCTGACCTTTGCCATTTCCATTACTTATTCATAACAATATAAAACAGTAAAGAAGATGAACAATTGAGATTTGATTGGATAAATTTTACCTAATTAATACAGTATTAAGAAATTCCTTAAACTTAAAGTTAATTATATACTATTTTCAATTTTAATAAAATTGTTATTTTCTAACCAATTGAATGGAATATGTATTTTAAATGTATATTTTTACAAATAAAATTATTAAATTAATAACTTTTTTAATGTATGTATAAATAATAATAATATATGTGCGCGCGCATTTATACAATATATATGTGTGTGTGTGTGTGTGTGTATGATATATATATATATATGTATATATTTAAAACTTATTTGTATGACAATAAATGAAAATCAGAGATCGATAATTCTGATCGATAAGATTTATTAAATTATTAAGTAGGAGAGAAATACATACCTGTAATAAGAAAATTAAATCACAGATAATAAACTTTTTGCGTTGACTATATACAAGTACTGTTAGATGATATTGATCTGCTCATGCGCTCTATTAATTGCAACAAATTAACCGCGAATTTTAAACATGCACTTTCTCTATATTTATCACAATACTTTTCATGTGTGTATTTCTCGATCGAAATCTAAAAATTTAAATAAGATTAATTGATTCCAGTTATATTTATTCAAAGTTCACTCAAATCAACCCGAATTTCGAGGAAACTTTTTCAGTAAATCGAACTAATTTTATTCTCACCGAATAATGAAGTAAGCGTTCTGCAACTCGGATGAAACGGGCTTAGGCTTGGCGCACATAATCATCGAGATTATGCGTTTTACGACCAAGTGCGCGGCCAACATCACGCTATTGGTCCGCGGCGAAAAATGAAAATGAATATAGATTGAACGGAATGGCAGAATGGCTCGTGAGACGGGACGGACCAACGAGAGTTGTTGTCGCGGCATTAACGCGTACAGCAAGGACTAGAAAAACAAATGGGTGATTCGCTTGGGCGAAAGGGATCGCAGCGCGCGACGGCGATAGGGGTAGTATATGAGTCCATCGGTGCGTCGATGCATCGATAAAAAGGGCGAATTTCCAGCGACGACCGGTCGGCAAGATGCCCGCGGCTGGACATCGGCGAGGCATGTCGCGCGGTAACTTTCACCCGTTGACCCGTCGCCGTGCAGCGAGGCCGACGCAGCAGCAGCAGCAGCAGCAGCGGCAGCAGCAGCAGTAGGGAGGAAACAGTCGGTCCCCCGTGCCGACCGCGATCCCTTCCGCTTTTCCGGAAGCGAGCGTCGCGGCGGACGTGTTGCACGGCGGAGCGCCCGCGGACAACGTAGAGCGGGGTCTGTGGAAACCTTTCCTGCTGTGCTGCGTCGCGCGCGGTTAAATCCTGGAACACACACGACGGCCGCCGTGTATAAACTTACGTCCGCATGCGTAATAATTGTCTCCTTTCCCGACGGGCCGCCGATCGAAATACATTGTCCGACCGGAGAGCACTCTCGGGGTACTCCGCGAAGGAAGGGAAGTTGCTGTAATGGCCGCCGTGTCATGAAATGAAGGTGCCGAGCCAGTTTTGTGGTGCCACAATGGAGGATAGCTGCAGCCCCGCGTCCCAGAATCACAACGGCCAGCTGGCCGGCGGCGCGAACGTGTCCCTCGCCAATAACAAGCATCAGGGCGGCAGCGACAATGGCAGCAACGGCGACGCCAAGGACCAGCGGCCGCAGTACTCGATGCCTGGCATCCTGCACTTCATCCAGCACGAGTGGGCCCGCTTCGAGCTCGAGAGGTCCCAGTGGGAGCTGGACAGGGCGGAATTTCAGGTACACGCTCCGGACGCACGGCGACGCGGAGCCCGCGGGCCGCGGCGCGTACGTGCGCGCGACAATCGTCAGCCTTATTGTCACTTTAGCTGTCATGTGACGGAGGGAGGCACATAAGGAAGCACGAAGCGAATGTTGTGCTCCGAGTTAATCGCGGACGGGATACGCCAGCGATGCGATAGAACGTGTTAATAATCAGCACGTTTGTAGCTTAAGCACATACAGCTACTCGCGTCAATGTTGTTTTCGATTTGTCACTCTGTCAAAAACGCAGCAGGCGTGTTTTTTTTTTTTTTTTTTTCGAGCTTATTGACGTTTACACGTAGAATATACGAGGGAATTGCGAAAATCACTCTGTCATTAATGACACGTTGATTTAACTCTCCCTGATGTTTCGTTGCGCAGGCTAGGATAGCTTTTCTTCAGGGTGAAAGGAAGGGACAAGAAAATTTGAAGAACGACCTGGTGAGGAGAATAAAAATGTTAGAGTACGCACTTAAGCAAGAAAGGTAAATGAATTAGTAGCATTAATTACAGTGACGTTATTTAATACATTGACAACTGTATCACGTACACATCATTTGTATATGAATGGCGTTCTTTGTTTTCAAGAGTGTTCCTTTATTCAAGTAGGAATGACGTCAAATTTAATAAAAAAACGCTGATTTTATAAAAAAAATTTGATGTCCTGTTGTTCAATGATGTTTTGGTATAAAAATATAATATATATGAAAGAAAACATGTTTGACTTCCTGGAAATTTTTTTATAAAATTGTGTGTTCATATATAAGTATTACATATGAATAACATTTGAGAGGAATTTAAGAAATATTTTTGCTAGCCTTAACATTTAAATGTTATACATAATATTTATATTTTTTTAATAAATAATATTGGTATATGTGTATATATTGTATTAATATGAAATAAAAATAATTATACTCTTTTACTTAAAAAACATATATATTATATATATGCTTTCAAATTATGATTATTAAATTCACAATATCAAATTAAGTGAACTTGATTAGAATATGTTATTAGAGTTTCTTTATACAAATGAGAGATACAGACATGTATATTATGATACTGGACTGTCATTAGACTGACTATTTCATGTCTACACTTTACGATGACTTTACAATGCTCATTTCTTGTAATTTCTATAGAGCGAGGTATCATAAACTAAAATATGGTACCGACTTAGTAATGCAAGGGGATATCAAACCACCTCTTTATGAAGAAGGTACCACGTGCAATATCTCTGAAAGTGGTAGTGGCGGTGGCGGCGGTGGTGGAGGAGGAGGGGATGGAGAAGCTTCATTTACATCTGTCAGTAATGTTAGTTGGAGACAAGGTCGTCAACTTCTGAGGCAGTATGTAAAAACATCTGTTTTAATTTCAGAGATACTTTAGAATTTTTAAGCTGCTAAAGTTTTTGCATTTTTTTTTTATTTATTTAATTTACAACTTTGTACAGAGATAAAGAGAGACATTGAGAGGAACATTAATATGTAATTTATAAAGATATCACAGTAGAATGTTTTTTTTTCAGGTATTTGCAAGAGATTGGATATACTGATACAATAATAGATGTACGGTCAAACAGAGTGCGATCACTGCTTGGCTTAAACAATAACACAGACACAGACGAAATGAATACTCCAGCGTTAAACGGAAACGAAGGAGTAGCACAGGATAAGCAGGACTATAATAATGAGAGTCTCGTACGTCGAGGAAAGCAGCAACATCCCCCCAAAAAGGTTGGACCGAATAAAAATATTTTTTGAAACTTGAAATTTAAAAAAATTTGAATTGCGTTAGTGCTAATTGTCTCGAATTTTGTATATCTAAATAAAAATTTTTAATTAAATTTATAATAAATTATGATGAAAGATTAAAAAGCGATGAAATACTTTTTTATATAATCTACATGAAAAATATAATGGTCTCTCTTCTAGCAGCAGCCATCTTCTATAGCAGAGGCAATGATATTGGACACCGAGGCGGCTGTTATAGCAAATTTCGAATTTTTGCGTCACACGGATATGGATATGGAAGAGGAGGAAGGAGACGTAGAAGATGAAATTTACGATGCAAATACAGATACCAAACCAAATAAGGTAAATTTCTACCATTATTTTTATTCTATACTATTTCACTTCACAGTGATAAATTTCTTTGTGAGATGTGTGCTTCATCGATATGACTTTCGTTTTTGTCTTGCAGGCATCTATTCCTCTTCTAGCGGAGGATGTTGATACAGATGCAGAGGCAGAAGAAGTGTTAAACGAATTAAATCTTCTCACAGAAATCGAAGAATCACCGCCTGGTTCTATTCATCTGGAAATGAATTCTTCAGAATGGAGTAAGTGATATCCCCATATTAATTTACGCGTACGATGTTTTTATATTGCACACAATATAAATCCACTTACATATATGATTATTTCGTTACATTTTGCAATATGTTGATCGATATCTCCCCTGTAGATGCAGCATTACATAGAGGATTGCAACCAGACCCAAGACGCCCAAATAAAGAAGGTGATTCTACACTGGAATTAGGAGAATTAGAACAATTATGTGTTAACAATGATGCGGAAATATCGTATGATGTAAGTTTTCCAGAATTTTTCCTATATCGTAAAACAAAGTGATGATTCGGTATGATTCGTTCACAATCGTAATGTCATCGTTTCACCCCACAGATGGTTTCCACCACAAAAGAAACTTTCAGGAAAACATGGAACGCGAAATATACGTTACGATCGCATTTTGACGCTGTCAGGGCACTCGTCTTCCATCCCACAGATCCAGTCCTCATCACTGCGAGCGATGATCATACGCTGAAGTTGTGGAATCTTCATAAGACTGTACCAGCGAAAAAGTTCGTAAATTTTTCCCATGTTTCGTTATGAGAATATCAGTTGCAACGTTATCATTTTTATTTTAAAGATGCATATCTATGTTATGTTTATTATTGCACTTATATATGTTAATACGTCTTTTCTTATCTTGCAGGTCAGCCTCGTTAGATGTAGAACCACTTTACACATTCAGATCACACACTGGACCTGTGTTGTGTCTGGCTATGTGCAGTATGGGCAATCGATGTTACAGCGGTGGTTTAGACGGCAACATCCATTGCTGGACGCTACCGTCAGCTAACATCGATCCGTACGACTCGTATGAACCAAGTGTCCTTAGTCATACGTTAAGAGGACACACGAACGCTGTTTGGGGCTTGAGCATGTATCTACGTACCATGCTGTCGTTCAGCGCGGATGGTACTGTAAAATTGTGGGCCCCGCAGGCCACACAACCTCTTCTCAATACGTATGTTTCAGAACCAGGTATGCAAACGTCATCTAATGTTTCTTAAGCTCGAAAACAATGCATTAGATCTTAATTAGCAAGTAGCAAATTGTTAAATTAATACGGGAATCTCAAATTTGCACAGCTTTATCTAGCAAATATTGATCAACTGTAAGTTTTCCTCTCTGTGTCGTATATTTCCAGGTGATTATGTGTCGTAATGATTTCTTTTCTTTTTTTCTTTTATAGACGGCATACCGACTTCGGTTGATTTTGTCAGGGACGAGCCGCACAAGCTGGTCGTAGCTTATGAAGGAGCTTGCGTGGTATTTGACACTGAAACCGGCGCGATCGTAGCGCGACTCGAGGCGAACGAGACGAAAGGGGTGAATCGCGTAGTAGCACATCCGACGTTACCGCTCGTCGTGGCCGCACACGAGGATCGGCATATTCGATTTTACGATCACCGGTCGGCTACTCTTGCTCACGCAATGGTAGCGCACTTGGACGCAGTTACTAGTCTCGCTGTAGATCCTCATGGTTTATATTTACTTTCAGGAAGTAAGTACGGAAAGAGAAAACCAAGTCGGCGATTAATCTCACCGCGATAACTCCGTGGCACGAAAAAATCTCGTGCGCGCGTCGATTAAAAATAAAAAAAATATACATTTCAATGTTACTTCTCGTTTCTAACGAATTTACTTCGCTCGCAGGTCACGATTGCAGTATAAGATTGTGGAATATGGACAACAAGACTTGTGTTCAGGAGATAACAGCGCATCGGAAGAAATTCGACGAAAGCATTCTGGACGTAGCGTTCCACCCGTCACGACCGTTTATAGCGAGCGCCGGCGCCGACGCTCTCGCCAAAGTGTTTGTGTGAATTGTGTAAAATCCAAGATACACTCGCTACATCAAAATGATTTCTACTACTACATCAAATCGAGCAGTTTTTGTACTCGTATTCATTTTAGATAGCCTTATATAACTTTATGTGTCCACCATACATACCAACATACACATAAACATATATATACACACACACACACATACACTTCCGATATATTTCCGTTGTAACTCTGATCGTTCTACCATTTTCGAGATATCGAGATTTATAAAGAAATCAAATCGCTCGTGTAGTTATTCATAAAGGAAATGAAAAATTATCAGTAACTTGTCTGTGACAGTTTATGGGGGAAAAAAAAATAATAATTTTAAATAATGTAAACGCGCTGCTTGTTGATGTTCGATCATCATTGAGTAGCCGATAACTATTTGGAAATAGCGGGGAGGGGTATCATGTAGAATATTAGCCGATATAGTCCTGATAATTAGAGGAACCAGCCCCTTGCCCACAGAATCCAGGAAGTACACTGCCGCGGTAGCGTATAATATTTATCCTTACGTTAACTATTTATTACCAATATCGCCGTTACTGTTGCACAGCTACTGGGGATTAATACAATCGTAATAATCAACTATACAGTTGCCCTAAATGAATAAAAATTATATATATATGCATTAATTAGTCTCCCATTACACATAATTTCTTTTCCTGCTGCCTTATATATTCATCGAGGCTAGCACATAGTAATGATAATAATAATAATAATAATCGTAAGCTGAATAGACATAATATTAATAACAATAAATTATAATTGTGTGTTTCTCTCTCTGTAATATATTGTATTTAAAAATAGATAACTGTGTAACGTATTATAATGAACATTTTTTTATTAAAATCTCATTCCATTATTTTCTTATTTTACACTCCAATCCAAAGTCTGAGCTCGCCCTGGAGGTCCCCCTCCTTCCCCCCGCGCTCGCAGGCGAGTAAACCCATTTTTCCCCTTTTCCATCTGCCGCGGTAAACAAAACGGGGTCGCGTCACGGCGAGAAAAGCTGAGCGATCGATCGCGCGTCTCGAGCGAGAAAAGTTTCGCGCGCGGTCATATGATCACCTCATTTTTTCTTTATGCAATCGCACGTGATCTCGAAAACGGGGCGCGTCCGGCTTTAATACGAGGGGAAAAAAGATAATCCCACCTACGAGCGGCTCTTTGACAGACGAGGCGCGGAGTAAATGTGTTGCAGAATTGTTCTCGCATCCTTCTCCTCGGGACATTTCATTCTCCCATCTCGTTTAAATGATAATGTCATCTCCCAGCGGCGAATGCAGCGAAGAGAAACGCATCGCGATTATTGTCGCCTGAGAGACAGAGAGAGAGAGAGAGAGAGAGAGAAACAAGAAAGCGCGCTCTCCCATAGGCGCGATCGTGCTAATCAGCTGAACGCGCGATCAGCCGTAGCGCGATCGATCCCGTGATTCCCCGTGATCCGATCCGCGAGATCAACCTTGAGGAGTGTAGAGGAACCATCGATGATCCCGAGAGAGAAATGACCAAGTTTCCCGTACCCGCGTGCATGCCGCGTCAGGCATGAGAGCTGGGCGCACAGCTGCACGAGCGATTTGTTGTTGTTCCACGCGCCTCGTAAGTGGTGTTAAATCCTCGTCGCCGCGGTCTCGTCTTGTCCGCTCCTCCGTTTGCGTGCGATAAAAGCCGGGGGAGATAGAGGTGGGAGGGGGAGAAGACGAGATCGGCGAGACGAAGCGAGTCTCTCGACGAGGCCTCTCGGAAATCCGCCTCGTCCGCCGGGAGGTCCCCGTCTAATCCGTAAAATCCTCAGACAGGTTATGTGAGACCCGTGCGAGTGGATCGCCCGGAGACGCGCAACCCGAGAGACGTACGTCGGCGAGTTATGGTGCGGCCCGATCCCTCCTGAGTGACTCCCGGTGGCCTAAACGATGGAGCGGAACGGCGCCAGAGAGATGGAGGAGCGCCGGTGTATTCGGGACACGGGGAGGGCCCTGAAGAAGTACGGGAGCACGGCCAAGCACATGACGCGGACCGAGAGCTTGGTGAAGCACACGGTCTGCCCTACGGACACCCTCCAGGGAATAGCGCTTAAATATGGAGTCACGGTACGGCCCCGTTCACGCGTCTCTCTCGTCTACGTGACGTTTTTCGAGCAACGCTTTGACTCGAGGCAAAAGAGTATTGTGCGCTTAATGTAAAATTGACGTTTCTTTTGCAGACAGAACAAATAAGAAGGATCAATAGATTGTGGGCGTCGGATAGTTTATTTTTACGGGAACATTTGCTTATTCCTGTTAGCGCGGACAGTCCCGCCTCTACGTGTAACGATGAATCGGTAACTTCTGAGGAGCACGATGTCCCTCCAAATGTGAGTAGAATTTGAAAGAACTACTACGTCATGTTGTCTAGCTTTGGACATGCGGTCTCTTTTCGTTCTTGTATTTTTTACTTTTTCTTAACCTCAATTCTTTGTTATTTTGTTTAGTTTTTTGCAAAAAATTTTCTGTTTATTCTTGACTGTCGTGCAACCTGTTTAATTTGACTTTACTATGTGTGTATACATTTGCTAATTTTTTATTAACTTTATACCATGCTTATGGAAACTAAGTGCAGTCGAAACGTATATTTTTCTTTTTGATATTATTAGAGGATAAATTATTTATCATTCAATTAATATTTTATCATTCTTCCTTCCTAATTTGCTCGTCCTTGGCCGTTGCCCTTATATTTGTTGGAAGGGATCATCGGCAATTCAATATTTTATTCATCACTTTACCTTAATAGATATTATAGCCTTACAAACATATCATGAATAAATATGTCGTATTTCACAGATATCTAGTCCTTCTTCGGTATCGTCGTCCATCGGTGACGAAAGTTCAGTTAATGATTTCTTAGCTAAGATGGATACCTCAATAGCAAATGCTAAGAGAGACGTCAAACGCGCTCAAGGGAACAGTGAGTAAGTTATTTTCTATGCCTTATATGCATTCGATGAAGTTTACATATTTTTTTGAGCACATGCTTTTGTACGAAAAGTACAAATGATTTAATAGTTGCTTTCCATTTTCACACAATGATACTGAGTCTAAAGTTATGTGAGTATTTTATATTCAGATAATGACGTCATTACTTGCTTACTCTGGTGAAAAATTATCTAGCATAAAAGCAGTAGGTTTATACCTCACTTTTAACGTGAGTTAACAAGACTCAATAAAGCTGGTCATGAGCTTGTGCAGATTGTAGATAAAAATTCAGTTAAATTTCACTTGTCAGAAAATAAATGTGCATTCAACCAAGTTATGATGTCACAAATGAGAATTATCTGAGTTTTGATGTAAATGGAAAGCAACTAATAATAGCATGTGTGAAAGACAAGTTTTCAAGACAAGTTTCAGGAAAATAAAAATTTCTTATAAACTCAAGCCCAAAAAGCGATGCGTTATTATCAAGAAAAAAACATTGAATTCTAAACAGTATTTTTATAAATAATTTTTACAGATTCTGCACTGACGGTAATGACGCTTACGTACAACGACGGCGTGGGTCTGCTAAACTGCGAAACTCATTTCCCACCACATCGAATACCTACTCGACGTCCTCCTCTGACACCGTCAGACCAGTGTCCTCTAGTGATATGCATAACTTTCCAACTGCTGTAGTTATGACGCAGGGAAGAAGAGTAAAGACTTCCTTACAAAGACTCGAGCAGCAGCAAGACGAGATGTTCCAGTTGTAGCGTCTAAGTTTCATTGGGCTGTAATATCCCTATGTGTCGACTGTTATTAAAAAAAAAAAGCTTATAGGAAAGGATGTACTGTATATCAATGCCAATAGGAGATTGCTTTTCACGCGTTTCTGACGTTGGTTGATCCAAAAATTACATATAATTTAATTAAATCGAACTATGCAGCGCGTTCTCTTTTTAACGTTGAAAGACCGTATCCCGATGTAAAGCAATATTCTTGTATAACGATCGCACTAACTAATCGTATCCCGGTCTTATGACCTTCTTTTCATCGTAATGATATCATGAAGAATGGATCAACTAACTTTTATACGTAGTGCTGAACCGTTTTACATAACGTTGCTTAGTGGACCATATGTGCCTTGAATATAAAACTGCGTTATGTAAAGGTCCTATTCATATTCTGTTTTTACTTGGTTAAGTCACATAATTGATGTATATTTTTTTCGAATACTTTATTTTTTTTTTTAATTTAAACTGTGATAAACCATTTAAAAATTTGATAAAAAACCAAAAACAGTTTTAAGAAAAAAAGAGTTATCTGAAATAGTGCAAAACTATAAATATAAACAAAATATAGAATTTACTTGTCTAAAATGTGACTTCTTAAACTAATTGTTACATTTGTTATAGCAAAAATATATTTTATTTTCTCTCTTAGAAAACCCTATTATAAACATTTTTTTCACAAATCATAAAAGAATATATCATATATACGATATTTTTCTAATATTAAATATATATAAATATTATCATTGTTTATAAGAATCCTAGAAAGTTATCATGTGTAAATTAAAGGAACGGGCAGAAGGCACCTGATATTATTAAAACATTAAGCGATTAATTCCTTTAATAATAATTCTTAGCTGGACTAAGCTTTCTGTGACTAAATTCATTGAAGTTTAATATTATTAGAGCACATTTTAGGTAACATTTACTTAATTTTGAATGAGTTATACCACCGTGTAACAAAATTTTTTTTCATACTAAAATAATCAATAGATCTGTGAAAATAAAGACAAAATCTAGCATAGAGGTGCACACCGTTCCGCGAGATCAGTTTATTTGAAATTTTTTAAATGTATATACATTTGAAGTTTAGAATAAGTCATTTCGGCCGTGGTACAAGATAAAATTGTGCGATTGTCTGGAAATCATGTATTTTTATGTAAAATTAGTTAAATTTGAAAACGAAATTACAGCGATTGAAAGCAAATTGCAAATTGCAAATTGCTGAATTGGAAAGCAAAATGGTGAAAAAATTTCTTAGTTGAAAATTTTTCCCTTTTTTCAGTCTCATTTAAATAATTATTACATTTTTTTCATTAATATTCACAAAGAAATTTCAAACATGCATAAAAAACGCAAACATTTGATATCTTTGAAACGCACCTCTAAATGCTAGATTTTGTCTTTACGAACATACGATTTTTTCATGTATAAAAAATGCTGTCGCACGGTGTAATCATCACAAAAGTCAGCGAATTCCTCAAAATATATCATAATACAAAAAGTTACAAAAATTCAGAGAAATTAAAGAGAATTCACTTTAAAGTAATGTTATAAATAATATCACAAATTTAATGTCGCAAAGCGATAATTGAAATTAGAAACTAGTAATTTAATTTATAATATGAAAACTTCCACCTAAGTATAGCTACACATTGATATACATTGTACATCAAATCTATGTAATATGTCCAAGTTTTGTACATAATCGAAAGAAAAATCCTGTATTTTACACTGTACATACAGTAAATAGCAGCACTAGTTGACAATGTTGTCTGTAATTAATATCATGCAATACCATTTTACTATAAAAATATATAAAAATGTTACATAAATTAAGATCTCAGACGCATCCTCGCCACTATATATAGGTACAAGATATACATAAGTTGAGTAAGATGTAACTAAATAATGTAAATATGAATAAATAAAAAAAAAGATCTAAGTAAAAATTAAGATAAAAAAAGTTTGGCTAGTAAATTATATTATCAATCACGAATAAATGTGATAACAAATTTATATATTATTCGAAATAGCTAAGTCATTACATGATTTACATACAAGAAACATGATTTCTACAGAAAAATATTTTCCACAATTTCATGAGTACTATTTATAGAGGTACCTATATAAAACAGATGGAAAATGAATTAAGTGCGAAGGGAGATAAAGAAAAAGTTTAAAAATGTTCAGAAACAAAAGGCTATGTAAGCATAATGACATAGATAGGTAAATGATTGGATTTTACAAAGGTCGAAAAGTAGGAAGAGATGTACATGAGTGTGTGGATTAGAAAACATGTAAACCAAGTTCCTTCTTTGGTTAGAAAGCTAGAAGTAAATGAATATTCATTCATTAATTCGCAAAACAGACAATATGTGTACTGAAATACAGTTCCGTTTTTACTTATTATCTTAAACTTTCATATAATATGTCTACTTTAGAGTTAACCATCCTTATGGGCGGCTTCACATATTTGTCACAGCAACACTTAAATTCATTCACAAAGTTGAAAGATCCTAAGCGACTCTTGCAGTACGGACAATGTAATTTTCCCTTGGTCCAAGATCCCTTTAAAAATAATTATTTAGATTTCATAATATACGTATTTCATAAATATACAAATATATGATAGTGAGTTTTAAGTCTTCATAAAAAAGGAAATAATACTTGATCGATGGCATCCATAAATATATCTGGTACATTCTCTGGAATCATGTACGAGCAATCTGATTCATCTGCCTGGCATCCTACATCCGTTGCCCCTTGCTTTACCTCGTGGTGCGCATTAAACAAGATAGAATCACCCTTAAAAAGAGATTTGCAGCAATGCCTGCATCTCACTTCCATGATACAAAGGCAGCGAATATCTGAGGGATTATTATTATTATCGATTTCGTTGTAATTGATTGATGAGAATGTCTTATAAAATGTCAGATAAAAATAAAACTCATAATATTACATTGTATAAAGGCTATAAAAAGATAACAGATGCTTACCAAAGTGCATGCAGTATTAATGGCTCAGCTATAATTATCGTTATTTTAATAACAGTTACTGTAATGACGTATATTATGATCACAACGTATGCTTCTCGAAATCATGCTTCACATAAAATTGAAATAAAGAAAAAAGAAACATAAACATCGCAGTAAATATACAAATCTAATCCTGGAAATTTTCTTGTATTTTGATAGTTCAACTAGGTACATAACCTAACCAATACTGGACAGCTGATCGCGACTAGCTCTATCACACTCAACACTGTGAGGAAATTATTATCTTTCTGATGAAAAAAATTCTCAATTTTATAATATTTTTAAGAATATCATATTAAATTTATAAAAGATCTAAAAAAATTAACATTTTAAAATTTTTTACGTTATCTTTAAAAATTATAAACTATAAAGTAAGAAATTTTAAAATATTTCAGAATTTATGAAAAATTTTAGAAAAGATATAGTTTTCTCAGTATTTCTAAAAAGTATTCCAATTCATATAAAAAAATCTGAGAAATTTGATAAAGTTTTTGAGCGTATAAATTCAGAAATTCTGAAATTTACATTATAAGTTCTGAAAAATTATATGAAGAATTTTTATTAGACTGTTGTCTATCATTTAAAAATTCTAAAAAAAGGGGGAAAAGAATTTTTGGTATTTTTACATGAAAAGGTAAAATAAAATCTAATAGTCACATGAGTCATTATTTTTTATCCTAATAGGATGGGAAATAACTCAGGAAACAATTTTAAACAACTTGGTATGTATTGCCTCACTATATCGTTGTGACATCAACATAAAAATGAAATTCATCTTATATTACTTTTTCAAAGTTTGCGGAATGCAAGCAACGTAAATACACGCCTAATGCCCACCTCTCATCAATCATGTAGATCAACTTTAATCTCGATTTAACTTCTTTATCTTTTCCTAATTTTAAGGATTAGAAAAGAATAAAAAACAAGTTGAATCGAGATTAAAATTAATCTACAACAGTAAGAAATGAACATAACTGTTAATATATCTTAAACTTAAAAGATACTTAAGAAAGGTATAAGATACTTAGAACGACATACACGATATAACGCAGATATATCGTTTGCACATATTTATAATTAGGTAATGGACACGTTTAATCTTCGCCCGCTGGTATCGCATCCTCTAGTCTTTTGACAAATTTCACACGCAATTCGGTCACATTGTCGTTCTTGAGCTGATCCTGCACGAACCAGCAGGCGACCTCCATTTGCACCATTTCGCAGGCTCCCCTGAGCACGCCGGGTAGTATGTTACAATACTTGAGGTTAGTATAATTATCCGGCAATTCCACAAATTCCGTTAGGGGATTTGTCTCGAAGCACAGCGAGAACTCGTCGCCGGCTGGGCTCCAGTTTGTGATCGACGGCGTGATGCCGAGGAATATCTTGAAGGCGCTCTGAATCTTCTCTGCCGTGTCTCTGAAATCGTAGCACCGGCCGGAGCCGGTCCGCGCCAGGAAATCCTCTATCAGTCGTATCCCGATGTTGTATCCCATTCTCTCCAGCTGCTTATTAACGTCCTCCGCGTTTTCATAGTCCTGGAGCAACTGGGCCACGAGCGCGCCATAGGTCAGAGTAAACAATTCAGAGCTCTGTAAATACAAATAAAAGAACAATGTTGGTTGTAACTTCAACTTTTATACGAATAAGGTACAAATGTATGTGCATTGAAATTGTAATTATCTATTGATTATATCTAAATTTAATAATGTAGATCTCGTTGCAACTCTGATGCATCTGTAATTATCATCGATTCTTACGGGATTGTCAATCAATAACAATAAGATTAAGAGGAGATATATGTCTAGCTTTATTAATTGAACTATCGATGTATTAATGTATATTTATTTCTATGATTTATTTCACTGTTCAGGTTTATTCATACATATACAATCATCGAAAAAGAAATAAAAAAAAAAAAATCTCAGAAAACGTACTATGTAAATTTAAGTAACTTTGATAAAAAAATTACAAATCAATTTTTTAACTTTGACAGTACCAATGTTAAAATATATCCTATAAAATACTAAAAGCCTAAGTATTAAAGCCTAAAAGACATCGCATTCTTGCTCCAAAAGACGGCTCAAAAAATTCTGATAACATCTCATAATATTTTTAAGAATATCATTAAATTATTAAGCTTATAAAGACCTGAATTATTAAACTTATGAGGATTTGAAAAAATAAAAATTTTTTAAATTTTGAAGTTTTTTTCAGAAATTATAGAATAAGAAATTTTAAAATATTTTTCCAAAAAAGCGAACTCGAAAAATTAACTCTAGCTCGATAATTAAGTCTATAACTACTCGAATAAACTTGAAGATCACATTTTTCGAGTTGTGTCTTTTTGAAGCAAAAGTGTGATGCATCCTACAAAACGATACATAACCTCCGTTCGATATTAATCTTACTCTAGCTCGAAACGAATATGAAAATATTAGGCAAATTACTAACGGCGATAATTAACTCTATAATTACTCGAAATAAACTTGAAGATCATGTTTCTTGAGTTGTCATCTTTGAAACTAGAATGCAATATATCCTACAAAGGATACATAACCTTCGTTCGATGCTAATCTTACTTTCGAAACAGATATAAAAGTATCAGGCAAATCACTAACGGCGAATTGATGTTACACAAACATTTCGTACAAAATAGTGTGACACTTGCCACTTTCTTTGCGTCGAGTTTCGTTCCTGTTCGTGACATGCTGATAATTGACGGCGAACGATCGTATTGACGTCGAGCCACTGTAACAACTGTTTGTGATGTATATAAACTGTTTATACTCGAGGAATATGAAGCTCTGAATATAAATCAAAGTAAAATAACACTACAAGTGCCTAAGAGACTAAGATCATTTAAATTTTCATGCATTTTTGATGATTTATTTTTATATTTGTTGCAAATTGTTGGAAATATCAAGTCTCTGTATATCTCGTATCTGCACTACTCTGGAGTTTGGAATTGATAGCGTCAGCAGAGAGAAGCGTGAGAGAGGCCATGCCGGCTTTTTGGGTGGGACCGGCGATCTTCTCCGTACACTAACGCCTCACGTCCACGTTTTCAAAAAAGAAACTACGTACCACGTTTATCTTATAACATTGTCGATCAAATTATAGCATTAGAACGTGGTTCGTGTCCGTGCTAATCATATATATGCCACATTCTTCTTTCTTTTTCTTTCTATTTCTCGCAAAACTTTATATTACATAAATTAATTATATATATTTTTTTAATTAAAAATTTGAATACAAGTATAACATATGACACAAACCACAAATTGTATACCCGTGGTGCAGGAAAGTGAATGTTGCTATATGTGGTTTACATCCACTTTTTCAGGGGACGTTAGTGCACGAAGGCATTTTGAGCCTTTTGAGGTAACATGCAAAAGGCCTTTCCTGGCCTTTCCGCTTTCTGTTGATAACGTTGTTTTATTTGGACTTCAACGCATTTAAAAAATAAACACGCGTTATATTCGAACTTCGAAGAGAATGAGAGACAAGAAAGTAAAAATACGTATAAACTAAATAAGTTATAAATAAAAATTATTATTTTGCTCTTTTTGGCTGCTGTTTACTTTTTCTTCGTTCCTCCGTTTCTCTTCCTTTTTTTAATTTGAAAATTCATGTATGATTGCTTTATTTTGAAAATACATATATATTTAAAAAATGCAATTGAAAATTAATAATTAAACTAGCTACAATACAACCGGAATATATTCAGATAACTAAATCTTTACTATTTCTGTATAAGATAATCAAGACAATATAACAAACTAATTCAGTTTTTTATAATTTTTTATATTTATTTAAATTTCTTTTATTTAAAAAATAACGTATGCTTAGGTTTATTTTAATTATAGAGAATTAGAGACTTAGAAATAAAATAAAATCTCCTTTGTTATTTATTCCGGAGAAAAAATTATATCTAATATTCAATGGCATCCTCGAAAAAAAAACGATAAAAACTCCAATATACCAAGAAAAAAAATATAACGTATAATATATATTTCTTCTTTAAATATTTCATTTCTTGACGAAAGTTCGCACATAAAGCTCAATATAATATAAGAGAGGCGAGACGAAATAAGCGAGTTTTGTGCTATTTATTATGATCCTTATTGCGATTGCTTTTTAATGGGATTTACTACAAGTGCCTCTGACTTTACTTTCTATAGGATTGTCTTCGAATATATCTCTAATAATATCGCGCTTCGGCTTTGAGTGCGCTGGCAAGCCGCGATGTAGATTCTCCATTATCTGCATTCTGTTCACGTTGTGATTTCTGAATCCTTGGCTCAGAAACTCGATATTTTCATTGTTGTCAATGGCCTTCATTGTAGCCAGCAGCTTATCTTTATTGTATTTAATTACCTTCCTCTTGTCACCTACTGGCTTTACCTCTGTCACCTCGTCCTTCGCGCCTTTACTCTGCTCAGTCTGAGACGCGTGAACATTACTGCAGGACGATACATCAACGTCTGGTGTAGCGTTCAATTTATTTTGTGTTTCTATATTGGCATCATTTTTATCTAATATTTCTTTATCACCGCAATGCATCACACTGGACGTTTCCTCTGCTCTGTGCCCAAGATATTCTTTTTCCAAATCATGCCGATCGCCTCCATCGAAACGGTTTGTCGTAGATTCCTTTTCGCAGGCTTGTTGCGAGCCCTTCTCGATTTTCTTCCTTTCCGTAATCGACACATTTTTCATTTCTTCATACGTTGCGTTGTCCGATGTATCATGATGAATCTTGCCATGTGGCGTATCAACATATCTCGAATTGTCCTCTAAATATCTCGTCTCTTCCTCTTTTGTATGATTTTCCTTTTTGACGTCTGTGGAAAAATTGTCTGTTCCGTTACTTTCCAAAAGTGGTCGTTTGTCCAGCCACATTTTATTTGAAGATTGCTGAGAAATCTCTGTATTTTCTGTGTTCACGCCATCCGGAGTGTTATCAGATACCCTCTGTAGCTGCGCATTCTTTGATCTCCCAACAGACTGTTCCGTGACGTTCAAAGTATTGTATTCTGAATGAGCGACACCATTAAAAGATTTCTCAAACTGCTCTTTAGCGTACTTAGGCAGACTGGTTTGCAGGTCATTACTTTTATATTCAATAGATAAATCTCCATTCATATTTATCTTCCCTTCGGAATCAACGTCAGAACCGCTATCGTAAAAATCGCCGTTCTTATGATGTAATACTTTCGCTTTACTCTTGTACTTGCGCTTTTGAAACGTCAAGTCTTCCATTAGACGTGTGTTTAAGTTCTCTTCTTCCTCTTCGTCTTCGCTGTAATCTGTCTTTTTCAGTATATCGTCCAAAGTGTCAGAGGTATCGTCTGTGCTGTTAATCAATCTGTAATAGATACAACAGGAGCTGTAATATAAAATTAAGGAATTGTTACAGAAATTGTAACATAAAATATGCTGCGTAAAGAGTTTAAATTATATTTCCCTGGTGAAAATTTTTCTTACAATCTTTATATAATTTTTCAGAATTTCTATATAAATTTACAATTAAAAAAAAATTTCTTTTTTTACAAATTAGACATTTTTCAGAAGTGTTGAGAAAGTTTACGTTTTCTTTTTAATTCTTCATGTATATGAATTCTGAAATATTCTATAAGATTTCTTATTCTATATATATCGGAAGAAAATGTATAAAATCTGAAGAAGTTTGAGGTATTATTTCATAAATTTTCATAAATTCAAAAAGATTCAAAAAATTCAGATGACAAATTCTTAAAAATATTATGAAATATATATTATGAGAATTGTTTTCACCAGAGTTCACACGATTTCTTAGAAAAAATATTCTTGTTACATGCATACCTCGCATATAATTCTCTAGATTTCTGTGGGGTATCATAGGACTGAATGTAATATTCACTAAAGTCCCCACTTTCTCCATCGTCAGATGAATAATCGAATTCAGTCCGTAGTTCTCTTTGCAGTTTTTGTGCATTTTGACTTTTTATTCTGCTAAATAATTTTCTTAGTTTGCCACTTTCACCCTGGCCGTTAATTAACTCGTCCTTCTCCAATGTCGATTTATAATCTATCGATGTGACCCCTTCGTCGTCACGCGCTCTCGTTTCAGAATCTTTTGACCTTAATCTCAAGTCATCCATAGAATGAGCATTTTTACGCATGTATGACGATCTTTGCAAACGAAATTTCCGTATCTGTTGCAAATTCGCCATTGTTTCTGACTTTAGCTGATCTACCGAATTGTAATTAACATTGTTTGGCTGAGTTATCTTTTCATCATCATTGGATTCCATTATATCAAGCGACGGCTGCAATCACATTAAATTTATAGAATCTTTGTTAATGCCTACTTATGCTTAAACACACAAATTGCATGACTCACCAAATTATCTTTTGGCGTACCATTTTCACTCTTTTTACTTCTGTTAGATGCCTTAGTTGGAGAGATGCTAAAATATAAAACATGTATATAAGGAATTTATTTTATACATTGTTAGACAAAAAGATGCGATTTCTGTACCTGACATCTCTGAGATTTGTAAGAGAATGGCTACCCAGTTTCTCTTTGCTATAAATTGGCAATTGGCCATTATAATACAATCTCCTTTCCCTATTGTCTAATAAACATTCTAAACTTTTCAATTTCTCTATTGTCTCTTGTAAGTTTTTCTGCGTCTCTTTGTGCTTAGAAATCTCGATGTGCAATTGATGCTTCAAGCTCTTAGTTTCAAGGGCGAGTTTTCTGTGTAATAACTGCAAGAAGATACTTTAGCTAAATCCACAATTATCACAATAAAATCCGGTCTACTTTACTTCTGTTGTCTGTGTGTAAATGTAATTTTTGAAATTGAAATTTACCTGTATAGTTTCCTGCTGCTGCTGCATTTTATAATTCATGTCAGATACTTGTAACTGTAATTTTTCTCTCTCTTCGAGATTTCGATCTTTACTAAGTTGCAATAGATGCTTATTTTGCGACTGCAAAGAAAAATTTTCGAAAAATCATACAAATGTACAGTAAAAATAAAAGATTTGTATTTTACTATATGAATATATATATTTTAAAATTATACACAAATTGAGAGACTCACATTTGCAGAATAAAGTTCAGTTTCTTTTTCTTTCAGCAGGTTGCACGTGTCTTTGTGTAATTTTTTCAATTTCTTATATTTTGCCTGTAGTACTCTCAATTCTTCGTGGTGCGAATTTATAAGTCTCGGTAACTCGGCATTTGTCCCTTCGTAACGCCTCAATGCAGAGTCCTGTCTTTTCTGCAACGCCTTTAATAATCTGTTTTCGTTCGCTAACTCCTGCAAAGGAAAATTAAAATTGGTTTCGCATTAAACGTAGAATCTCGGTGTCAAGTATACACGTCAACATATCCTACGTTTACTTACATTGAGATGATAATGTGCGTCGGCTAATTGATTTTGCATCTGTTTAAAACGAAGCATTTTCGCTGACATTACTCTTTGCCCAAGCATACTTTTATTACCAGACTTTGGTTCATCCGACAGCGATTGCGGTTTCATGCCGCCTCTATATGGAGCACCTATATGAGTAGGTATATACAATATAATAAAATATCACAAACAAGCATGTACTTTAATAAACTCTTTGTACAAACCGGGCAAGGGATTTAAGCATTTTTTGTTCGGAAGTAACGCATTTCTGCAAGAAGACAGCTTTTTGGATTCCAGCGTTGCGTCTTTTGAAGGATTTGCTTTTCTGCAATTTACACACATATGTACATTTAATATACATGATTTGTTAGACAGATAAAATGAGTTTTTAATTAATCTAAAATGCATAATTGTATATGCATTGAGATACCTTAATGATTATAACGTATCTTTATCTCTTTGTCTAATATTACGTCACGATTTACATTGATACTCTCAAAGTTATAGTTTACCTAGCGACTGTTCTGTGCACATTAAGTTGTACTACTGGTAAGATAGAGGCTTCAGTTTGCATTTTATATTTATACACAGCGTACGTTACAACACGCGTCGTAATTGCGTACAATCCATCTTAATAGTGTCAAATTGTCAGAAAACTGTCAAACGCTCATTGCAGGCTAGTCGGCGACCATAACTGTTTCAAATGGTTGTCAAGGCAACATCTGTGTAAGCATTAGTAATCAATGCTTTTCAAAAATTCTTTTCGATGCTCAATGAAATAAATTTTAAGGCCAAAGCATCTTTGACATTAAAAAATTTTTAATTATTTATTTACTGTAATCCAAATTGGATTACAATAAATAAAAAATTAAATTCATTGAATATATATTTCACTGGCTTCTTTTTTCTGCTTAAGCATATTTCGCAAATGATTTTATGAATATATTAATATTGCTAATATTTGTTAATATTATACGAGAATGTATTAGTTAATAACATTTTTCAATCGAAGTAGAAATTATATAATTATTAATATAATAATAATAATAGAGACAAAGAGTATCGCATTATTTACACTTAATGTAAAACTGTAACTTCTATCATTTAAAACATATTTTAAGTGATATAAGTTAAATTTTTTTCATAAGTTTTGAGATTTGTTACAAATGAAAATATTTGGCACTTAGGTATGTACAAATTATTCCAAAAGTAATCTGTTATTAATAACACAGCAAATACAGATTACTTTATTAATATTACGTTGGCTGAAATACTCATGAAAATGTATGCACACAACAAAGAAGGCTATTTGTAATAAGATTACAAGAGCGTAACATTTGTTTATTATTTTTTAATATTAATATATGTACACTGACATTTGTAACAGATATCGTTGCCCATCTTTAATACTTGTATTTGTATGTACAGCACTGACATTTCATTTATATTTACGAATCTACTTTTGCATATCTCACTCTGTCAAGTCTTAATTACAAAACAACATTTGAGACAAAATTATTTAAAAAGACTAAGACTTTCATTCAGTGTTGTATAATAAATAGTATCTCTATCTAGATTATACTATCTTCAATTAAATTGTATAGTTTGATTCTTCTCTTGTTCTTCTTGTGATCTCTTCGCGCCTAAATACTGAGTTTCCCACAATTTGCTGTACAAGGAATTTGGTATAGATAACAATGACTCGTGTGTTCCCCTTTCGATTAAATTACCCTGATCTAGCACAAGTATATCATCGGCATCCATAACGGTCATTAAACGATGTGCGATCACGATTGAAGTTCGTTTTTCCGTCGCCTTATGTAGGGCATCAAGTATATTCTGTAAAGCAAAAATTATTTTATCAATTAAAGTGATGTAAAGACATTTAAATAACATGGCTGTATGTAGTATTTCTGAAACTTGCATGTTCTGTGATGGAGTCCAATGAGGAGGTAGCTTCGTCAAAAATCAGTATAGGACTGTCTTTCAAGACTGCTCGGGCGATTGCAACTCTTTGTTTTTCTCCGCCACTCAATTTCAAACCGCGTTCCCCCACGGGTGTGTCGTATCCTTGCGGCCACTTCAGTATCGAGTCGTGTAGATTCGCCATTCTCGCAGCTTCGTAAACTTCGTCGCGCGATTTTCTCAAATTACCATAGTGCAGATTGTAATATATACTCTCGTGAAAGAGTACCGTATCCTATAATATTTTGTTTTTGACGTATTACGAAAAGTGGTATTTGCGCGTAAAATAATTAGTTTTCAGGACGAAAAAAAAAAGGACGAAACATATCGAATTTACCTGTGGCACAATTGAGATGCATTGCCTGAGGTCCTCTAAATCGACGTCTCGAATGTTGTGACCATTGATGTAAATATCACCACTCTGTGGTTCGAAAAATCTATACAGCAGTCTCACAATTGTAGTTTTGCTAAGAAGATAAAAGTTGCATGAGGCAATCGTATTATCAGCAATTATATTGAACATTGATGAATATACGATCAGTAATCTGTATGTGTTAAACAATTTGTATATACCTAATACCTTACCCACAACCGGAGCCTCCAACAATAGCAATCTTCTTGCCACTCGGTATAGTAAATGATACATTATTAAAAATAGACTTTCCTTCAACGTATTGAAAATTTACATTTCTAAATTGAATTTCCGACGAATCCGCCGTCACGTAAAATCTCAGTGCGTTTTCTTTCGACTGTTAACAAAAACCCGAAGAATACCTTAATTATTTGCAAGGTATAAAGACAGCTATTATAGATTATTTTACAGATATCAAAATAATTTTACTTTGATTGCAGTGTCCGTTGTCATGAGAGTAAACATGGTTTGCATGTCGATAAAAGCTTGTCTCACTTCTCGATAGACAGAGCCCAAAAAACCTAAAGGAACTGAGAGTTGAAACAACAAGGCATTCACCATCACTAAATCACCGACGGTCATAGTGCCTATATATAAAAGAAATAAAGATACGTACGTTAATTTTCTTAAAAATATTTTATACTCTGATAATAAAGTAGCAATTACGATAGAGTAATTACCATTTATGATATTTTTTGCTGCCAGTACCATAATGAGACTTAGCGCACCGCTGAAAATGGCATTCTGCCCGAAGTTCAACATCGCTAAGCTCGTGCTGGTCTTGAGGGATGACGTTTCATATTTCTTCAAAGATTGATCGTATCTTTCCGCTTCGAATTTCTCGTTGTTGAAATACTGAAGGCAAAGAAGACACGCATATTTTTTAAAATCTAATTAAGATCTTCAAAGAATAATTGATATGTAAAACCAAGTGAGAATCTGATCACATAACTTCGTTTTACAGGACAAAATATATAAATACGATAAATTGAGATGAATGATTATCCTATTTAAATTGAGATGAATTATTACGTGCAGGAAGAAATTTTACGTTTCGAGAAATATTTAGTATTTCCAAAAAATTATTAAATATATATCGCGTACAATGGATAAGTAAAAGATGAAAATTACTTTGATCACTATTTATTACTCTATCATCACAATATTTCGTAAGAAGTATTGTGTTAATAAACACAATATTTCTTTTTAAAAAGAAACTTAAACGAAATTTCTGTTCTACTGACCTTTACTGTTTCGTAATTGATAAGCGAATCTATTGCTTTATTACCCGCTTCGTTTTCTGCTTGATTCATACGTATTCGGAATTTGGTGCGCCACTGTGTGACACTTAACGTGAATATGGTATAAACGCCCACGCAACCCAACGCCACGGCCGAGTATTCTGGTCCGCATTTTATCCCCAATATCGCACTAACTAACGCCAGTTCGAATACTGTTGGTACAATGTTAAATACCATGGCGTTCAAAACGAAATTAATACCGCGGCTGCCACGGTCGATTGTCTGAAAAAAAAAAAAAATACAACAAACGTTTTTGAATGTAATTTTTTTAATATTTTATATTGACTAGGAGAAATAATAAAGAACAATAAAGAAACGTTTACTAAATACCAAATATTACTTTTGATAGAGCACCGGTCTGTCTGCTCAAGTGAAAAGCCATGTCGAGATTGTGCAGATGCACGAAAACGTTTTTCGCTATCTTGCGAATAGAGTGCTGCGCGACCTTCGCGAACACCGCGTTTCTAAGCTCGCTGAAACCGGCCGCTCCAGCCCGTGCTATTCCATCTACAAAGAAGATTACTCTGGAATTATTTAACCATGTACGTTACAAGAATTCTCCTACTAAAATTGTTAAGATATGTATTCCAAAACATAAGGCATAAGGTGACCTTACATCCGACAAGCAGCGACGTTGCCACGGTCGCGACTGCGGCAGGTGCGGTTGCTAAATTCATCGCAGCGGTGCCAGACATCGCTGCGGTATGGGCATTTAAAATGTCTATCGCATACTTGAAAATAAATGGTACAAGAACGTTTACGACCTTAGCTCCCACAAGTAGACCCACCGCTATTTTCACTCTTTTTCGTATTTCTGGATCGTCCTACAAAAATATAATAAATAACATTGCATTATAAACATGTAACAAATGTATTCGCATAAATTTCGACTAATTAAGATCTTCAAAGAATAATTGAGATGTAAAAACCAAGTGAGAATCTGATCACATCACCTTCGTTTTAAATGACAAATTATATAAATACGATAAATTGAGATGAATGATTATCCTATTTAAATTGAGATGAATTATTACGCGCATGAAGTAATTTACGTTTCGAGAAATATTTAGCATTTTCAAAAAATTATTAAATATGTATCGCGTACAAATGGATAAGTAAAAAATGAAAATTAGAGAAATACTTTGATCACTATTATATAACGCGATATTTAATTAAATAATACGACATTACGTACTTCTGGCCAAATGTATCTTAGCATGCCCTTTAACATGTCCGTGCTGGTGACCGATTTATCGTCCGAATCAATGCCATCTCTGCCTAAGCTAGAGACGCCTGGATGGAAGCAGTTTCTTTTCTGCTGGCCAGGCTTTGCTCCGGTTAATCCCGTAACAACCGATACGAATTTCACTGGCGGCACGACGGATTTAGATTGCGGCACGCTCTTCTTCTTCTGAGCACGATCGATTACATTGCCGCTGCAACACTAATATGTAATAACAATTTAATTTTTATACATAATCAACGTATATGACAATCATGATATACATGTTTATAAACATGTAACAAATTCGCATATACTTCGTTTAATTAAGATTTTCAAAGAATAATTGAGATGTAAAACCAAGTGAGAACCTGATTACATCATCTTCGTTTTAAATGACAAAATATATAAATACGATAAATCGAGATGAATTATTACGTGCATGAAGAAATTTACGTTTTAAGAAATATTTTGCAATTTCCAAAAAATTGTTAAATATACATAGCGTACAATGAATAAGTAAAAAATGAAAATTAGAGAAATACTTTGATCACTATTTATTACTCTACCATCACAATGTTTCGTAAAAAAAAGTTCGTAAACAAGATATCTTACATTTAATGAAATTTACTTGTGTACATATCTGTAGAATAATTTCCTCAAGATTTTTATGTTATACTGTACAGATTATTAAGGTATTTAATGTAATACAGTTTTTCCTATTTTCTCCATAGAATTAAACGCAGCATCTAAGATATTAATATATTCCTCTACGAGATTAATCGCGATTGAAAAGCTTGGACTCTTCGGTTTTACATTCTTCATTTTACTCAACGCAGACGCGTACTCCGTTCTCTTCAAGTTTAAGATACTTATTCCTAGCTTATTAATTATACACCGTTCGTCTGTATCGAACGTTTCGCCGTATATCTTCAACTTCCAACGGTCCTTCTCCAACTTCGTACTCAATACAAATAATGCCACTGTCGCATTATAATTCAGACCGTCGCGAGTGAACGACATACTTTTGTGGAAGCTGTTGAATGTAATAAAGTCTAATTTATTTCTCGAAACGTCGAAGCACCTCTGCACGTCGAACGCGTCAAACTGGATTTCATCTAGTGGATTACGCGGAATGAAAAACCCATACTCGACGTACAACTTGAGACTGTCGTGCGCCCCGTAATTGATGAACACCTGTGTCCCTTCGTCAAACGGCGTTAAAGTGGCAATCTGATAAAATTGATTCCGACAGTCATCCGTGACGACGGACACTTTAACGGCGGCGTTTACGTCGTGATTAAATAAATCCAAGAACGGCGCGAGAGCCAAATTATTTGGCTGTTTCACGTTAAATACATCCTCCTTGCATACCTCAGCGTCTATATATACCGCCCGTGTATTGACAACGTAGTACGCCCATTTGTACCTCGCAAACGTTATTATCTTTTGCATTCGCACGCTGCAATGAGGACAACGGCTTCTATCGACATCCAGGCGTTTTACTAGCACAGAAAAATCTGCTTGCAATTTGTGGGCTTGACGTAAAGGATGCGAGATGAAGCCGGGCAACGCTGCTTTCTCTTTGTTGGAACAGAAATCCGGATTCGTGAAAGATCGCGGCAGCGTCTTCAGATAAAGATACCACTTTGACTCCGTCCCCAAGTGCGTCTCGTACACGAGAAACGTTGCGAGCATACACTGGGGGGTGAAACTATCGGTGGTACGCAGGAATAAAGTTTTGACATCACTGCGCGACAAGACGTCTGTCGTTAACAGCGTTCGAAGCGGCAGTCGAATCAGTACTTCGTCACGTTCGACGCGCTTCAATGTTTTCAAGCCTCTGCCTGTGAGCGGAAAGTGTTCTGGCGTCAAGTAACGAATCGACACGCAGTTTTTACTTAGAAGCCAGGATTTTAAATCTATCAGAGACTCGTCAGTGATCTCATTCAACTCTACGAAACTAAGCCTCTTCTTCCGACGGCGTTTTCTCGACGTTCGCCCCATTTGCAAACACGCAGATTATTACATCTGTAGCAGTAACAAAAACTTTTATCGCAAACAAGTTACTTGTAGTAAATCTTCAAATCAATTATAATTATCGTATTTTATATGTACATTTCAAAAAACGTAAAATTTCTTTGTACGTAAAATCAAGGGCAATATTGTGCGAGATAACTCAGCATCTGTATTTATTGTTGAATGTCTTACAGCTAATAAAATGTAAAATAAATGTAAATAAATGTAATATAATAAAATACTAAACAAAACATAGAACAAAATAGATAAGAAAAAAGGTAAAATAAATGTACGATTATAAAATATATAAAATTATTAATATATATGAATAGAAAAATAGAAAAAAACAAGAGAGTTATAGTGTGGTAAGTGAAGCGCAGATTGTTAATTCAAGTACTTGTTAATTCATTGACATAAGGAAGCACAGATTATTTATTCAAATACTTGTTAATCCATGGATGTTTCGATCAAGTATTTGAATGAAGATCTTTTAATACAACAATTAAGGGAGAATAAGAGACTATCTGCGCTTCACTTATGGCACTATAACTTTCATTAGCCCTGTTTTTTTCTATTTCTGTTACGTGACAATCTTGAGTTTTTTAATTTTGTTTATATATATATAACATTTAAAGTAAATATGCACAGAATACATATGTATACATGCTTATGTAATAATATAATAGGTAACTGAATGCAAGAGCATAATGCATAATGCAACGTCTGTAAGTAGAGAATTGTTGGAATGTATTACCCTGACGCCGAGAGGAGGAAATATGGAATTACGCCCGGCAATGTAGTATCTATTGGACAATATCAATCGTGTCGTGACTCCGCTACTGTACGTATTTCTTGCTGTCATGCTCCACCGCTTCGTGTCGCGCGGCATTACGCGCGGCAGGCGGCCGCACAGTAAGCTCAACATCTTTTTTTTTTCTCTCGTTCTTCCTCTTTTCTACGAATCCTTCTTATTTCTCGTGAAAATATACCTAAATAAGTGCCACTAGCCGATTTATGTGCAACACATACATCGCGGCGATCATGTAATCGGTGATAACCATAACCTCCGCGAGTCGGCCGTGAAACACGTGGTAAACATGATGTCCATCTCGCGCACGCTGCAGACACCAGATGCTGTAATCACTAATCAGTGTAATCGAATAAACTTGGCAGATATATGCGGGATGTGGTGCCTAGAAGTTTACATGGTTCAAAGGTATATATTTAATTTGTAAATCACCATCTTTTCAATTGTATATACATTACTTCAATTTTACGTTTAAACGCAATTTTGTGGCAATATATACGATATTATAGTATTATAAATATTTATACTTATTTATAAAGCATTTATTTAATAAAAAATCGTGATTTTAATAATGTATTATTCAAATAAATCGCAAATTTATGTAAAAATTCGATAACATCGATATCTCTGCAATTACCTTCGGGCCCTCCGAGCCCTTTGACTGGCATGAAAATTTGTGATTTGTCCAGAGCTGATGGTATTTAACTGCAGTATCTCGGTGTGCAAATGGATCGTCCAAATATTTGACTTTCTCCGGATAATACTCCAATAAGATTGGCCGTCTTCAGTAACTCCGTGGTCGATGCTCTTAGGTGCCGTCTAACGGAGTGTGGTTGTGACATTTCAGGCTTGCGCATACGATTTGAACAATTGTCAAAGTGCACACGATATTTACTTTATATAATTTAATTCATCGAGCTAGATCGGTAAGTGCCCTGATGAATGCCACGAAAAAATTTGTTTCGTAATCTCATTTCCTATTTATGCCACTTTTATTTACATACACGTGGATAGATTGTTTGACCTATTTTTTTTTGCATCTCTTACAAATATTGCAAGCGATTCAATTTAATCTCTCTTTTTTTTTAAACAAGTTGATTGAGTTCTCTTCTCGAATTTGGTTCTAAAGACAAGAAAGTCGCGTTTTAAAAAATTTTGCGGACTATTGTAATTTTATGTTGACACAAGAAATTTGTTTAAGGAAACTTTATTAATTAATATTAATTTTACATCAATTTTATTTCGGTTAGCAAGGATTTTTAAGAGCTTTTAATACAAGTTTTCAACATGAGATAATGTATTTCTTTATAAAAATATGGGCAACACGATTGCATGAGAAATTTTGGAAAGTTAGGTCAGAAGAGAAAGTTTTAATTATTCACATACCTCTTCTGTTAATCCTCGAGACATATACAACTACATTATGTTTGGTAAATTTATACATTTTTATCTGTTTAGTATTTGTTTTTTAAATATTGTTATTGAAGAGCCTTTTTTCTGTTTACAACTTCGTAAAAATCTTGAAAAATAATTTTTATTAACTATTTTTTTTTTAAAGACAGAAAGCAATAAAATTAAAATTCCTATACTTGCATGCCAATTTTGAATCTTTCTAATCAATTGATTAATTACATTTTTCTAGAATATCATCTGCAGCAGTTTAAAAAATAAGCACGACGATGTCTGCAAACACAGCTGTGTTCAGAATTTGGAGAGGAAGCAGTTCAGTGACTACGTTTCTGTGGAAGTCGCATAAGGCTTTTCAGACTCAGAGAGCAGTCTGTATTTCCGCACAAAATAGACTCCACTTTAGTTTTGTTAATCAAGCTGAAAACAAGGTAGCAGTGAGTCAAAAGACAGACTGGAATAAAACTATGTCCGAGGCAGAGAAGATCGTCGGATATCCGACATCCTTCTTAAGTTTAAGATGGCTATTGAGCGACGAGATTGCTAATATTGCGTTGCACTTGAGGAAGCTGGTTGGCTCAAATCATCCCGTATTGAAGACAGCCAAGTAAATTATCATAATAATGCAGTTCTAAGAACAAAAATATCATTTGCGCTTTTTTTTACAATAGGACCATTATTTATAATGGACGTAACACTCAAGCATTTGGTCTCATCTTGCTGTTAATCTCCAAGGCTGCTGGCCACTTAAATGCAAAACCAATAGAGGAGGATAAAGCTGCAGGCGTATTACATAGGTATACTATAAAAATTTTTAATGCTCGCATAAAATATGTATATGTAAGAAGAAAAAAGATTTATACTAAATATACAAACGTGTTTCTACATTTAGTCAAAGAGCATTGGCGGAAATTACGGAGATGATCCGTACTAGCAATTTGATACATAGAGGACTGGTAAACTTAAATACAGATACAGGATCTCTAGACTCTACGGAATTGAATAATATAACTTTCGGCAATAAAATGGCATTGCTGTGTGGCGATTATTTGCTTAGCAACAGTTGTACTGAAATGGCAGCTCTCAAAAATCAGGATGTGAGTATACATACTGTTTGTAATTGTAAGTTATTACCAAGGAAAAAAAGAACATTATTTTTTAAATTTAAGAAACTTATAATTAAAAAATGATATTTTTCAGCTTACGTTATTAATATCGGAGGCAGTAAGAGATTTATGTCAAGCAGAATTTGTAGCACGCAGGGACAATCAAAATTTTCCTATACCGTCAATACCACCTGAGGATCGCACAGACTATGCATCAAAGGAATGGACGCTTTTAAATACTTATGGCGCTGGATCGTTGCTCGGGAAAAGTTGCCAATGTACATTAAAAATAGCTGGTCATAACAAAGAAATAGAGGAAAAGGGTTACGAGTTTGGGAAACACTTAGCTTTAGCTTGGCAGGTAATATATTTTCATTAAAATATACATGTCTTTAATTTGTATTACTTTTGCAATAATTTTGTAACATGCTGATAATATATCTTGTGCAATAACATATTTTTACAGGCTTCCTTAGACTTGGGTTTATGCATTAATAAAGATAAGGACATTTTGCATAATTTGTGCGCTGCTCCAATTATGTTTCATGTTGAACATGATCCATCAATTTTAATAGAACTCGATAAAGGATTGGAATCTGTTGAGAACGTCGACTATTTGAAGGTTTTAAAAAAAATTAATATTTGATAAAATTGGTGCATGATCGAAAATTAATAGCTGTCCCTTGTCGCATATTTATTGAAAAAAATGATTATTTGAATAATTTATGTATATAGGTACTTGAAATTGTGTCAGCTGGTCCAGGCATTGGATTAACTAAAGAGCTCGTGAAAGAACACTCGCAAAAGGCAATGGAAATCTTAAGCGTATTTAAGGAAAGCGATGCTAGAAAAGCATTATCCAATATTATTGTTGCTATAGGAGACTTTTGACAAAGAATGTACTTTTTGTTCTTTATTTTATTGCTCAGTAAA